AATGAGTTTAAATATAACAAACATTGTATACGTTTTGTTTCGGAATTTAGTTACAATATTTCTTTTAGAAAACAAATGTTTGGTTGGAATGGACATAGTCACAATTGAGAAAAACTTTTTTACAACAATATAAAGGATTGATACATTAATTTGTAACTATACAAGAATGACTTCGATCTTCACATAACACAATAATTGTTTGATTAAGATAATATTTTAATTCAGTCGGCATGGCATCACTCTTATCAAAATTTAATTGAATTTTATGAGCATGATCCTCAAATGACCATATAGAGTTACTTCTCTTTAAAATTATATACTGCATTATCTATCATTACAACTTTATTAAGCTTTATCAACTTTCAATTAAAATAATGGTTTCGTGTAAAAATTATACATGTATAAGAAAAAATCAATTGACAAATATCTATTGTATCTAAATGAAAATCGATTATTTCTGAAATCAAATCGGAATCACCCATCCCTAATCTGTAGCAGTTCACTTTTTTCTTTACCGTAGTGAAGCTCTCCAACGAAAAAACGTAAATTTCGCCGGCGCTCAAAAAAGTCGGTCGAAAACTCCGTAACATCGTCAGAATAAGCAGCTTCTGTGATTTAATGGATGCTTCGTACCAAGAACTATCGTATCTGCAACGTTTCAAAGAGAGACGCGAGCTAACTGCAGAGAAAAGAACACGTAAAGGAATTAGATGGCTTGTTTTAGGTGAGTTATAAGACGATTGTCTTACATCTTGTCACATATCTCGAGACTGTGGTTTATCAGCTTTTGTCCCTCAAAACTAAGACAAAACAAATGGAATAGCTGACCCATCACGTAGAATATGTACCTGGACATTTCTAAACCACCGGCTTCTTGCTGTGTAATCTTGAATACAGAAAATGTGATATTTTAGATACTTGCGATTCCAGAAAAATTTTATAATAAATGAGTACATATACTTATAACAAGGTGCAGCTTAACGATATGACAAGTATCAATAATTGCAGAGCAAAAGGTATGGTAAAGATTTTTTCGACAAGTTTCACGAACCTGAGACAAAAAAATGTTGTTAATAAACTGTATACTCGTCGCTATATTTCATTATTTCTTTTTATATTATGTTTGATGCGGTGTGTCATTATGATTTAGAAATTTCTTGGAGTGAAATCTTACTGGAAACAAAACGAAAATATTCACTCAATGCGTCAGAGCGAGGAATTCACTCTATATGAATGAAAAGTCACGCGAATCTGAATGAAACAGGCACTCTATTTTTCGAGTGAAACTCCACTCCGCGAAGAAATTCAAAAATTTCTCTTTCACGTTCAACAACAACATACTTACTCTAATATCTGTCGATGCATGTGCACGAGATATGCGATTCTTTTACAGTAGGTCTCGTCTGAATCAGATTTAGTATTTTTCTCAGCGTTATTGTGAATGGTAAATAAACATTCGAAGCGAGATCTATAAGCAATTTGTACGACGTCGATTTCACGATTATTTCTGGTCGAGTGTATCATTAAAATATATTTTATAACGATGTGTTTCCTCGTGTCACGGAATTGCTTTCTTACCCGAGTATAGTGAACATGCAGCAAACGTGTTCGATATAGGTAACGAATATGCAGTCGTGTGCGACTATAGCGGTCATAAATATTCCGCAAGAGACAATAGCATATCCGTAAATATAAATCAAATATTGTCTAGTGTCCACAAAATAGTATGCAGGTATTGGTAGTAACACAGGGCGAGATTCGTTGAGCGGCATTAGAACATCGAGTATAGGTGACACAAGGCTTGCCGACGTAAACCCATACACCCCTAAGAAGCAATACGCTGCAAAGAACAAAATATTTTACGAGCAAAAGAAAGGCAGAGCAACGCATACACGAGCGGAACAGAGTTCTCATTCTCCGTGCTCACCTGAATAAATCGCAAAGAAACGTTTACAAAACAAAGCATGCGACTTGAATATTTCGATCTCCTCGGGTGTTTCCAATTCTTCCCAGTCGACGAACAAGCGTTCGATAAGACGTTTAATCTGACGAAGCAATTGTTACTAACACGAATTGTTACTAACGCGAAGAGCATACTGATAAATGCGAGTAAAACTGCTACAGAAATTAATGAAATGGTGCGTGCATCTTATAGAAATGGAGCACCAACGTGATCCAATATTTTTCGCTGTGTGCAAACGGTTTCATGATAGGCAAGATAATGATCAGAGCAACATTAGAAGTGGTAAAAAAGGGAAGAAGGAAGGAGGAATATTGAAGGCTAAGGAGGAGCAAAGTTATTTTCTCGTGAGTTTAATGTTTTATTAAACTATTCCTAAAACTTTGTAAACGTACCGTGTATATCCAAAAAGAATCCAAAATACGAATATTAAACAACATACCTTAGAACTATTTATCGAGAATGTGTACAACGACACGATGTTTACGATCGTGAACAAAAAGGTTGGCACGCACGTGAGGATACATTGTATATCTCTTTCGCACCTAATTTGGTACGCGATCTAAAACGTTCAATTAATGTCTCGCGATAAGTCAATCTCGGCGATTATATCGTTGATTTACCTGCGGAACGAATATGGCTACTGCGGTTATCGACATCAGACCGATACGAAGATATCTCGTTCTCGGCTTCAGGTACGGCCACATACCGGTGAATAGCGATAACTTTTCGACTAAACCGTAATGACGACTCCAGATGACGTCCATAGTCGTCGGAGAAATTCTACTGCTGCAACACTGCGCGGTCGACTAATTTCTGAATCCCCTTCTTCAAATGCAAGGAATGAATAAATAATGGACGGTAGGCCATACACGAATAAATAGGAATGATCGTAAACACCGAGTTTTTCAAATCGATTGTGTTGCAATTATGCGTATCGCATCTCATAAAAAGCAATGGGGAGATGAACGAAGACCTGTTGATTCCAGCCGAGTTCTATCAAAAATAAAGTAGACGATCCTCGTGCGATATTTCCTTGCACGAAACATGTCAATCAAAATGTATTATAAATTAGCGAGTACTTTCTTTTGAAAGCGACTACGAAACACTCTCTTTTCTCCGTGCGATCGGATATTGGGGGAACAAAGTGCAACTTGCGAATAATAAAGGGTTATCAATTATATCCGTGGCACAAGTAGCCGTACTGTACAGTTTTATGTGGCTTTCACGAACAAGGTATAACACGAAGAGGAAAGGAACCCCATTGATTGGTATACCGTCAATATACCAGCGGATATACGTTTAACAAGTTTCAGAGGGGAAGAAAATCGATCGAAAAATAATAATGCATTTCTACAAGAAAGAAAAAGTGCTAATTTTAAGTGAATAATTACTCCAGTACTCCTTAGCAAATTTTCTATTATGAAGATATACCCTGAGATTTGTACTTTATTTACAGTTTTATAACGCATATTCTGAATATGTGATTTTACGATAATGCTCTGCGAGGGAATTTTCACAAGTATTATTTATTCAAACGGCTCAGAGCGGTCAGTCGTTAAAATTGAACTCCAGACGAGAGGCACATTTTATATTAAAGTAGAAACTGCCGTCGAAGGCGAAGGTATGAAGATATCGTTTAAATAATTTCACGAGTTTAATCTTAAAATGCAATGATTTCACGTAACGTTAGCGCAGTTCTCTGTAGTAGATAAAGTTTGCCACGTTGTAGGATAAAGGTTATATTGTCGGTACCCAACTTTAACAAAAGATTACTTTTTGGAAACAGTCGGCTAAATTGTGGTTTCTCACTGAACGTATCGATCGGCATTTCACACGAATGATATAAATGTATGTTATTATAGAGAATATAAATAAGGACAGTTTTGCAGTTAGGATAAAGAATGCGGAATTGGTTTGCGGAAACGTAGAAAGAAGAGCGTTATATATTCTCGTCTTTTTCTTTTTTTATTGATTTCCTTTTCCGCATCCACGACAAATATTAATGAACTATAACCACTATCTTTTTCTCTCTCTTCCCAGACGCACAGGACACATTCCGTAGGTTATTTGTATCATCGCAGAATTGCCGGATGCAGTTTTAATATTGAGTGTGATTCTATTAAAAGGATGCGAGTACCGTAACGTACGACATCGAAGTTTGCAGAACCTTTCAAACAGAAACTGTCCGTTATTAAATGAAATGAAATTCCAAAACATCGTCCACCACGAGGAATCTCGTTTTACCGTGGTGAAACTCTCCAGGGAGAATACGTAAATCTTGCCGGCGCTCAAGGAAATCGGCCGGAGGCTCTGTATCATCGTCATAATGAGCAACTTCCGTGACTTCACAGGTGTTTCGTACCAAGAGCTGTTGTATCTGCAACGTTCCAAAGGTGTGCCAGCTAAATGCCTAAAGTAGCACGTACAGGAATTCTCAGACGTTACCAGAAACGAACGTCTTACATCTTATCGCGCATCTGAAGACTGCGGTCTATCAGCTTCTGTCCCTCGAAACTGAAGCAGAACAAGTGAAACAGCTGAGCGATGACGTAGAATACGTATCTCAGTAAATCTAAGATATCGGATTTCTGCGTGACCTCGAGGACAAAAAATGTGACGTCTTGATTATTTGCGAAGCGAGAAAGGAAACTTCGAAATAAGTAAATACATATACTTGTAATAAGGTACAGCTCATCGTCGTGATAATGATTAATAGTTGTATAGCGAAAGATATGGTGAAGGTATTTTCGAGAAGTTGCGCGAACCTGTAGCAAAGATAAGATGCTAAAACGTTTAACTTTATCATTTCCAAATGTAATGTTTTATCCGAAAACGCATCTCACATTTCTCCGTACACACAACGGGAATAATAATAATAATAATAATAATAATAATAATAATATACTCACTCTAAAGTTTTGCGATGCGTGTGCACAAGAAGCGCGATCTTCTTATGGTACGTATCGTCACATTTCACATCTTTGATCGCATCGTTACGACTACAAAATAAATATTCGAAACGATATCTGCAAGCAATTTCGCACATCGACTTTCCTTCTTGAGTGAATTGACCGGATACACGTTTACTTACACCCGAAAAGGTGTCTCCTTACCCGACCACAGCGAACATACTGCAAACGTGTTCGACGTAACTCACGAACATGCAGTCGTGTGCCACTAATCCGGCCGTGATTATTTCCCAGCTCACGACTGAATGGCCGTAAATGTAATAAAAATACTTCTTACTGTCCACAAAGTAATATCCCGGATACGGTAGCAGGTTTGGCCGGGATTCATTGAACGGAATAATGACATCGAGTATACGCGGCACGATTGACACCGACATAAACAAGTACACCGTCAAGAAGCAGTACACTGCAAAGTAGGAAGCCTTCTGGCAGAACGAAGTTTGCGCCAGGCAGTTTGCGCCGGTCGGCGCAAACGAAACGGATTATTAAAGAATCTTACTGGGATATAATATGGAAAATCGCCTGCAATTCACGGCATGCGATCTTACGATGTCGTACTCTTCGGGAGTTTCTAGCGTTTCCCAGTCGTTAAACAAGCGTTCGGTGAGATCTTTGAACTGACAAGAACGTCGATTAATGGCGCATTTTATTACGGCCCGTAAAAACGTACGACGATGAATGTTTGTAAATTCAAACGAACATTATTTCTCTCCACTTTTCTATCCACGGTGCACAGAGAAAAATAATCCAGACAGCAAGTTTTATACCGTTGCAGCGAATAAATGAATATATGGCGCTTAAATATTGTTTAATATTTTACACGGAGAAAAATAATTTGCTACCTTGGCAATTTTATGTTGTCGCGATAAAATTTGTCAGTTACTATATGAACAGCGAAGCAATTTGTTAAGAGTAATTATCATACGTTGGATTATCTTGCTGTAAGAACGTATTAATAAATGTAAGCAAACTCTATTTTGTTCCGGCAGTAAATTAACGCATTTTAAGAACAAATTCATCCAGTGGAATATTTCCTATCCTGGCAACTGTGTGAAGAAACGAAACGTATGTTCATATAAACACTTTTCTTCATAAAATAACTTTATAAATTAACTCCTAAAATATTGGAGAAGGTACTTGAGAAACATCTTATATATTCATTTATTTACGACTACGACATAAAATTTGCTGTCTCTCTAAATTTTTTTTTCTCTGTGTGTGTGTGTGTGTATGCAAACTCTGAAGTGAGAGAAACACAATTTTCTATATAATAATATACAGTACTCAGTCGCGGTGCTATGACTGTATATTACTCCAAACGTACTCTTTGAATGTTCAATTGAAACGTGATCACCTTCACCGCGGCTATAAACGTCGACAAATACGCCGTCATCGATAGGAAACTGCACTGTATATCTCCCTCGCACGTAAATTGGAACGCTATCTGGAAAATGTATCACTCTTTTTTTTTTTACAATAGGTCGCACCGGAATTTACATTGTGTCTTGCGCCTTCACTTTACCTCAGGAATCAACAGAGTCAAGAATATCACTGTTATCACGGCAACGCGGAATATTCTCGTTTTCGGTTTCAGAAACGGCCATAAGCCGGTGAGTAATGATAAGTTTTCCACTACACCGTAATAATGACTCCAACTGATCTCCATAGTTTTCGCAGACATACCGCATCTTCGATGTCGCAACGAGGAATAGAGTTGAAGAGCTATCTCCCAGCATACAAGGGGTGAATAAATAATTCACCTAGACGATACATGCAATTGCTGCCTGTACGAAATCCATCGCATAGCAATCGCGTGTGTGTCAACTGGCGGGACATGTTTTACATTCAATCATTAGCGACGCACAAAATTTTACAACTTCCCCCAGCACGGAGAAGGTATTGACTACGCTACTACCTACTATTGAATTATCTACGAAAATAAATATTTCTTTATGGTAGTGATGGATAATATTTGTCCATCTTATTCTTTTTTTTTCCAGTACATAATAGGAAGACGTGAAGGAAGATAAAAATGGAAAAGCAGTTGTGTTACTAAGGCGGGAGTGATACTTTTATCAGATATCTTTTTCTTCATTTCTCCGTTATACATTTTTTCTTCACGTTCAAAACCGACATGCTATCATGAGGTAATCTATTTTTGACCTTCGAAACACAGTTTTTCTGTTATTCGAGAAAAACTAGTCTAGCTAGTCGGTAGAATGGACCTGTTTGTGCTTATTAATGATAGATAACAGAAAAATCTGTTTATACGATTAGAAGATATCATATAAAAAAGAAAGTATGTTGTTTTATTTTCTTAATACAAGTTAAAAATGAATGTATCACTTCTAACAGAACATTATAAATTTTATTGAAAGGAGGAGAGTACTGTAAAGTAAGACATCGATGTTTGTAAAACCTTTAAAAAATAGAAAAACACTCCGTCAGTAATATACGACAAATGTCCAAAGTGACTTGTGACGACCCATACTTTTTTTTTACCGTAGTAAAGCTCTCCAATGAGAATACGTAAATCTTGCCGGCGCTCAAGGAAGCCGGTCGAAGACTCTGTATCATCGTCAGTATAAGGAGCTTTTGTGACTTCAGGGGTGCTTCGTACCACAAGCTATCATATCTATAACGTTTCAAAGATGCGAGATGGATGCGGAAGATATTTCATACAGAGATCAGGTAATTTCGAGATGAACCATCAGACGAGCGTCTTACATCTTGTCGCGTATCCAAAGACTGTGATCTATCAGCTTCTGTCCCTCGAAACTGAGGCAGAACAAGTGAAATAGTTGACCAATGACGTACAACACGTATCTTATTACCTCTAAAACGCCAGCTTCCTGTTGTGTAATCTCAAATACAAAGAGAAGTGATATTTTATATTTGGTTCGTGCATATTTGGGGAAAATTTTGTAACGTATAAATACCTGCAGTAAGGTGCAGCTCATTGTGATAATAATGATCAAAAGTTGTATAACAAAAGGTACGGTAAAAGTATTTTCGAGGAGGCGCGCGAACCTGTGTTTGGCGGATAAGAGAGAAAGACAGAGGAATACTAAGATTAAATCTTATAATTTCTCCAAATCTTTCTTCCACTACTCACTCCAAAGTTTTTAGATGCGCGTGCACGAAGAATGCGATTTTCCTGCGATAGGTATCTTCTTCTTCTAGATTTTCTTCTGTATCTCCCGTTGCGTCGTTCAAGTTAGGAAATAAGTATTCGAAACGGGACCTGCACAGATCGCACATTGAATCTGCTTGAACGAATCGAGTGGACGTGTTTGAACGTTTTACTCACATCCCCAGAAACTACCCCCTTACCCGATCACGGCGAACATACTGCAAACGTGCTCGACGTAACTCACGAACATGCAATCGTGTGCCACTAATCCGGCCATAATTACTTCCCAGCTCACTAAGGAATGCCCGAAAATGTAAAGGAAATATTTCTTACTGTCCACGAAGTAATATCCCGGATACGGCAATAATATAGGCCGGGATTCGTTGAACGGCAATATGATATCGAGTACAGGCGGTACAATGGATACCGACATGAACACGTATACCGCTGAGAAGCAGTACACTGTAATGAAACAGCAAATGTGTTACGAATAAGGATAAAATGGACTTAAAGCGAATAATACGAGTGATCTTTAGCGTCCTCACCCGGATAAAACAAAGAGAATCGCCTACAATTCTCGGCGTACGACTTCATGATTTCGTATTCCCGAAGGGTTTCCAGTTCTTTCCAGTCGACGTACAAGTGCTCGGTAAAGTCCTTGATCTGGCGAAACGTCGATCAATCGCACTATTTCAATGTCAAACAAAACAGGCAAACATCCGGAGGGATGTGGGAAAGCAACAAGGCGCAGGAGACGTTAGTTAAGTGTACAGGAAAAAAAAAGTTTGGTGACCAGACAATGTACAAACTAAGTGCGTTTTGGTTGAAAGAAACTTGACTTCTTATGAAGTAAACTCGATTCTTACATTGAGAGAAAAAATAAAATATAAGAGAAATAAAAATATATCAAAAAAATAAAAAAAAATATTCGGTGGGTTCTAATAAAACATATTTACTTGAATTTAAATTTTTTTATTTAAATCCTTTCATTTAAATATAGAATAAACAATCGTCTTCATGAACAGTTTTAAGAAAATGTGTATTTTCTCATTCGGAACAAACTTTTCTCGGTGTAAAAACATGTACAAATTAGTGTAAATAAATAGTGTACCTATCGAAGTTTTTTTTTATTTTTTGGATATTTTTTCTCTCGCTGTGTAATAAAAAATTCTTATTTCCTTCAAGCAAAACGCATTTGGTTTATTCATCGTCGGCTAAATTCAACCAAACTTTTTTCCTGCGTATTTCCACCCAAATGGACAATTTTTTGTCAAGTTGAATACCCTGTCACCGCGAGACATACTTTATGAATGTTCAGTTGGAATCCCCACACTTTCACCATAGCCACGCTTGTCAACAGACACGAGGTCATCGACTCGAAGATACACTGTAGCTCCTGCTTGCACGTGAATTGATGCGCTATCTGGAAATATCGTGAAACATTCGCGACAAGTCGCTGCCGATGAGGAAATTATGCCCATGAATTTACCTGTGGGATGAATACAGTCGAAACGATCAAGGTCAACAAGGTAACGCGAAGCAGCCTCGTTGTTGGCTTCAGATACGGCCACATGCCGGTGATTAACGATAACTTCTGGACGATACCGTAATAATAAGTCCATGGTACCGTAAAAGTGGTCTCCATGGTTTTCATAGAAATATTGCACCTTCGACGCAGCGCGATCGATTGAAGCCCGAGCCGGTAATTCAGATGGACATCACGTGAATGCGATATGTGCGAGAGTCTCGTGCGGCAACTGCGCGTGTCACCTCTTTTCACGATGGATAACATGTCCGCTCACTTTGACACGGTGACACTGATATTCTGCGTCATCGGTGATATTTTTTTGCGACGCTTCCCTTCACGTGAAAAGTAGCAATCAGAATGTCCGAGAAAATAAGTCCTAACGACGAGGAGGACAAAACGCTTTCCTTTCGCGGTCAGATATCAAGGAAACGCAACGTGGAAGTGACAACTGCGTCAACTTGCGCGAATGGTTTTTTTTCTATGTAAAGACTGCTCTCTCAGCTCTGGCAGTCTTTGACAAGTTCGTTCATCTTTACGTATATTGTGTTATGAGAGAAGCAAATCTTTCTCGCAAACATTCCCGACAAGAAGTATATGTATTGGCTCACATGTTCGGCCACACCGGATTTGCTTTCTTAGGTAAGAATTGCAAATTAAAAGTGAGAAATTTTTTTCTACCGCGGCGTTTCTTACATATTATAAATATCGCTGCGTCTTTCTTATGCAATACAGAAAATCGGTTCTTAATAACTTACGTTTGGGCTTTCAATTCGCTTTACTTTTCTCGTAAGCTTCACTTACCTGTAAAGCTCACTTACCTGCGCAAACCTCCGGAGGAGACTACGGAATCCGCATGGAGACCCACGGAACGACTGGTCGACGCCGAGATTAACGTCGAGAACGCATAACACAAGATTTGGTGTATAGGATATAGATGACATTTATTTAATTACTTTATCGGCATCATTTATGCTACTGAATGCTATACTCGTAATAGGTATTTATAATTATGTCGATAATCATGCGTGAGAGTCCGAAGATTACGTGAGGTCAGCCGCGAGCTTTACAGTCCGTGAACAGTGTTACAATGAGAGAGTGTGTGAGAGAGTGAAAGAGAAAAGAGAGAGAGAGAGAGAGAGAGAGAGAGAGAAAGAAAGAAAGAGAGAGAAAGGGGGAAGAAAGAGTATGCGTATGTAAATTAATTACAAGGGGGAAGAAAGGACCGGGAAAGGACGTCGCTCCGAATACGAGATGCGTTCGAGCGAATCGTCGACCACCCACGCACGCAATCAGCCCTCGAGCGCGATCCCTCAGGTCCGCGAAGGATCGCGCGCACGAGTCGGCATTTATATCTACGTTTATGTTCATCTCTCGTCCGTGCCCTTCGATCGCGACCGATGTCGGGGTGGTTCGCTCCCTCTCAATCGCAACTCGCGTAGACTCGTAAACGAGGCGCTTAACCACTATTCCGCTTTCGATCCTTTCACCAGAGGGTTTCGCGCTTCGCTGGAGAGCTGAACGCTGGAGAACGTCGCGCGGCTCCGGATATCATCCGCTGCTGCGTGTCACCTCGATCGGTTAATCCGAATCCACTCGTTTACACAGTGAAAGGGTCTCAAGCGCGCGCTCCTACGACGAGGACGTTGCTCTATTTTACACTCGCTCGCTTCCACGTGGGTGTCTCTTTCTCGAAACGTGTGTATGTATGTGTATATATGTATATATATACGTTTATATATACATATACATATATTCTTAAATAAAGGGTAAGAAGGACGACATAATGGTTAAGTCCGAATACATACATTTAAGAGAACTTAGCGACATACATATACAAGGGCGTGTGTAACATAAGGTCTCATCGAGAGGAATGGCGGTCTATACTCCGGTCTGCGTCGCCTGTTCGACAGGATCAAGGAAACTCGAGAATCGAATCATCGACATTCACCTCCGTCGCACGCTCAATCGCTCTCGGTTCCCCCCCGTTAGACTGTGTCGCGCTTACCGCGTCTCGAGCGAAACCGTGAGAAATCCACACACTCGCGCATTCGACGGAAAAGAGACGGAAAAGGAAGGAGCGTGGAAGGTGCGGACAGTTTCAATAAATATCCGCAGGACGCGTCGTCGTGGGACATCGTGGACTTAGCGCGCGAACGTCCGCCCTCCCCCGATATTTAAGGTGGTGGAGAAAGAGAGACAGAGAGAGAGAGAGAGAGAAAGCAAGGCGATCAGGATTGCAATCTCTCGCGCGTTTTCTCTTATCTCCTCCTGAAAGGTCGCGAGATTCTCGAGGGACAATGTATGTGTCTGTGTGTGTGTCCATCTCGCGAAGGGAATGCGATACCCTCGAGACACGGTGAGTCTCTCTCTCTCTTGACATACAAACATTATATACATGCATAATTCATGATTAATGATACTCGGGTGAAATTCGACGGACTTATACAATATGGTAATTTCTCCGGCCACTGTGCGATATCGTAGTCAGGGTGACAACGAGGATGTCGCTGGAAAGCTCGACTCCTCTTCGCACGCCCGTTCAAGTCCAATATTAGCTCCGTCGAGCCGTTTCATACAGTTTACTGACCGGCAATATTTCTCTTCTACGTAATCGTGTGTCGCGGTAGCGGTCGAGAGGTGTCTCAGCAACAAGCCAATTGTCAGCCGGTATGCGAAATCGTCCGCTGGGTCGCGCGACTGGAGACCGTCAGGAGTGGAACGAAGGTGCTTCGTCGGGCTTTCTCGGGGAGGAACGCGTATAAAATCCGATCTCGTGTACGACATCAGTCGAAGATCGCGTCTACTAGTGTTGCACTCAAGGGTCTCCCCAACCCCGATAAGAGACTATTGTATTGCTAATATACGGCGGCCCGGCAATCGTTCACGACCGGTTACAAAGCAGCGAAGAAGAAGCGTTAAGACTCGGGCGTGTAATCTCGTCTTGCCAGCATCCCGTCTCGTGCACCAGCGTGTACAAGTTTATGCGCACTAGTATACAAATATACTAAATTACAGTCGGTAACTTACCTGGCAAGATACTGATACAAGAACAGCGTATCTTGTAAGGTAATAGCGATCGTTGTAGGAAAAAAAAGCTCTCTCTCTCGTTTGTATTCCTGCGCCTGTGTGCTCTCTGATACCGTTTTATATATATATATATATATATAAAAGGTACTGCAAAACTCAAAACCGGAATACGCGCAGGCGAGACCGCGATTCTGCTCGCGCGAGCAAATCTCCGCGTCCTCGCGGGAAAGTCACTCGCCTTAGCGCGAAGGAGGTTGTACGCTGTGTGTACAAATAAAATATAATTGTCGGCTGTGCGCGCGAGCGGAAGTAACATCTCTCCTCTCTCTCATGCCTCGATTCGACCGACAACACATAATATAATATAAAACACCCCGCTAACCGTACCTGTGCGTCCGCGTCTATACGGTTCGAAACACAAACGATATCTCCGATCATGATTAGAAATCGAAATAAGTTAGTCAAATTAAAACCGCAACGCTACAATGTACAATATAAAAAGATATCACAATACACGTTTTCCTCTCCTTACTTCCTAATTATCGTAATTGCCCATTGTAATAATATAATAACTCTTATCTTTTATGTATAATCTAACTGTATATATATATTTCTCGAGATTACTCTCTATTAAACGTACTAAATTTACGATTAAACTATACATATATATGTCGCCGGCAGCTCGATCAAACGCGGCGACGGCGGCGCGGTTTCCATTCGCGCGCATGCGCGGAAGCGTCCCGCGACTGGAATCTGCGTTTCGCGCGAAGGTCTGGCGGATCAATCGCGGTTACAAATCAAACGTCATCCATGCGTGACTGCAACGAGAAAAGTAGTCGCTGTGGGCGAGTTCCCGCAGCAGCGCGCGAGTGCTTTGTAACCGGTTACGAAGAGCGGCCCTTTCTCCCTTCGAGCGAAGCTCCCGGAGATCCGTGACGAGACGATCGCATGCCGATAGGATATCGTACGGTATAGAAACGAATTTGGTCCTCGATCGTGACTGAATACCAAAAAACAAACAAAAAGACGTGTGTAACTTTCGCCCTTTTTTCGCCTACGTGGTCGTCTTATTCTTTTCAGCCGACAATGACGGCTTTACGTATCTCTTCCGGTCCTTTTATCATATTTTCTTGATCTCTTCGATATCGGCGGCAACGTCGTCCACGTCGATCGCCGACGAACGCGTCGAAACCGAGTTTTACGACGATGCTCTCGACAACCTCTTCGTACGAGCGACCTCCTCTTTCTCCGAGGGTCAACGGACCCTCCGCGAGACGTTCGGGGGATGAGAACGCTCGTACCGGGTTGCAGCGGGTTACAACGAGCGAGCGGGCGAGCTTCGCGGCTCGAACGGTGAGCATGATTAACGAGCTTGCCCGACTTTTTCCGAGTTCCAGTTTTCGACCGAGCTCTGTTGTCTCCCCGTCGAAAACTATGAGCCTCGATTAATCATGCTCCACTCCGGATGACTCTCGGGTTACACAAAGCTAAGAGTGTACTCCCGACGAGAGACACGCCTCGCGCACGTCACAGTGGAAAAAATAGCCGCGCGAAGCGGACAAGAACCGGGAACGTCGTTCGTTCGTTCGTTCGTTCTCCGGCGGTCTTCGAGCAGAGGCAATCGTTCCGTGAACCAACAGGCAAACGCGGAATATCCTTGGGTTCGCGCGGAACGAACGACGTTCGCGTAACAACTGTTCGAAAAACGAACGTCGGTCGGCGTGTAAGAGTCGCGCGAGATCAATGTTCTCTTTCTCTCTCTGTCCGTCTCTCTCTCTCTCTCTCTCTCTCGTACTGACATCACACGGCCCTCCTCTCGCAACATAAAGGACCGATGCGTAGGAGGATCGTCCTTCCTCATCGATCAACACCGCGCTCGGAGAGAGAGAAAGAGGGGGGAGGTAGAAGGGAAGGAGAGGAAGATATAACATAGAGAGAAATGGTGCGACAGAGCCGAGGATTGCGATAAAGAGAGAGAAAGAATGACGGATATTGATAGAGAGAAAGAGAGAGAGGGAGAGGGAAAAATTGATAGAGAGAAAGAGAGAGAACGCAGAGGAGAGAAGGAAAATGGTTCCACGGCGCGGGACTGAAGGGTGTATGTGTGTGTGTGTGTGTATTCATATGTATGCGTGTATAGTAGGGGGATAGTTATCGGACTAAGGAAGAAAGGAAATCGATTCATTATCTATTAAACTGTTAANGTCGTCCACGTCGATCGCCGACGAACGCGTCGAAACCGAGTTTTACGACGATGCTCTCGACAACCTCTTCGTACGAGCGACCTCCTCTTTCTCCGAGGGTCAACGGACCCTCCGCGAGACGTTCGGGGGATGAGAACGCTCGTACCGGGTTGCAGCGGGTTACAACGAGCGAGCGGGCGAGCTTCGCGGCTCGAACGGTGAGCATGATTAACGAGCTTGCCCGACTTTTTCCGAGTTCCAGTTTTCGACCGAGCTCTGTTGTCTCCCCGTCGAAAACTATGAGCCTCGATTAATCATGCTCCACTCCGGATGACTCTCGGGTTACACAAAGCTAAGAGTGTACTCCCGACGAGAGACACGCCTCGCGCACGTCACAGTGGAAAAAATAGCCGCGCGAAGCGGACAAGAACCGGGAACGTCGTTCGTTCGTTCGTTCGTTCTCCGGCGGTCTTCGAGCAGAGGCAATCGTTCCGTGAACCAACAGGCAAACGCGGAATATCCTTGGGTTCGCGCGGAACGAACGACGTTCGCGTAACAACTGTTCGAAAAACGAACGTCGGTCGGCGTGTAAGAGTCGCGCGAGATCAATGTTCTCTTTCTCTCTCTGTCCGTCTCTCTCTCTCTCTCTCTCTCTCGTACTGACATCACACGGCCCTCCTCTCGCAACATAAAGGACCGATGCGTAGGAGGATCGTCCTTCCTCATCGATCAACACCGCGCTCGGAGAGAGAGAAAGAGGGGGGAGGTAGAAGGGAAGGAGAGGAAGATATAACATAGAGAGAAATGGTGCGACAGAGCCGAGGATTGCGATAAAGAGAGAGAAAGAATGACGGATATTGATAGAGAGAAAGAGAGAGAGGGAGAGGGAAAAATTGATAGAGAGAAAGAGAGAGAACGCAGAGGAGAGAAGGAAAATGGTTCCACGGCGCGGGACTGAAGGGTGTATGTGTGTGTGTGTGTGTATTCATATGTATGCGTGTATAGTAGGGGGATAGTTATCGGACTAAGGAAGAAAGGAAATCGATTCATTATCTATTAAACTGTTAATTTGGTCTCGGGGGTCCAACGACTCGTGAAGAGTTATTGTATGAAATAATCGGGGTGATCTGAGTCCTTTTCAAACCTCTTCGCCTCTTCCTGCATGCTCTCCTTGATCTTCAGGATGGCCGCCGACTCGGTCTGATCCTGCGAACCAACCAACACCAGGCCGGTTACACGTAAACGGTCAGGCGAGCCCACCAACCTTGCCCAAGTTCCGCGCAGCGTCTTTCACCGGCGAGTTCGGAGAACTATCTCGGTCATTTCGTCCGGCGTAATTTTGACGCGGAACCTAGTAAGAGATTGCGACCGGGGCGCATGGACAGGGTGAGAGAAGAACCACACCCGGTTCGCTTCAATGTCTCACTAGNCGGCGAGTTCGGAGGACTATCTCGGTCATTTCGTCCGGCGTAATTTTGACGCGGAACCTAGTAAGAGATTGCGACCGGGGCGCATGGACAGGGTGAGAGAAGAACCACACCCGGTTCGCTTCAATGTCTCACTAGGTTGCCGCCGACGAGGAACGTCATCCGCTCCGTCCGACGTTGCTAAACTCGCGAAAGCCACACGGAAAAGAAGAATTCAGTTCTCGCAACTGAATGCACGGAGGAAAAGATTTCTTCGGGCTTAATCAGATTTCCTGAATCGAAGGAAATTTCGAATGGAACTTACAACTAATAGTCACTTGGAATAGAACAACAAACGAATGTTTGATTCGACAAACAAGATTGCCTGATTTTTCACACAATATCTTTACGTCAAATAACACATTTCTCTGGTATTTTCGTCCAAACATTACAACGATTGTCACAAGCGGTAAATTATTTGAAATATGTAACACTATGTTAGAACAAAATCAAAGAACTTCCTTTTCGCTTCGGTGGAGCAATTTTTTAATATACGATGAAATAATTTTTTTTTTAACAAAAACGAAATATTTCCTCTAAATAATACTGCTTCTTCAACATGGTTTACTTTAGTAAAACAACATTTTTATCCAGAGAAAATTTAATATTCTAAAATTTATAATACATATTAAATTATTAATGTTAATTACGTTGTTTGTATGAAATAAATTCAAGTCAAACAAACACAAATATTAAATCCAAAGAAACCTTATTCTCTGTACAAGGATCAGATGAAAGCTCGGTGAGAAGAAACGAAAACTCGGTAACGAGAAAGGAAAACTCAGCGACGAGAAAAGATATATCTCCGTTACCGCGACTAAGAACACTCGTGTGAAGATTTAGCCGCATCGAAACTCAGTTGAGACGACCAAGAGCAGTTGACTTCAGAATAGGAACTTCCCGTTCCTACGACCGAGTTTTCGTTTGATACCCGGGCAATGGAAAATTCAGTTACACTAACGGAATTGTTTTTTTCCAGAGATACGGACAAAACCGAGAAGTCCCGCGAAACAATCTTCCCAGCCACGCACGAGAACGCTGCTGGCCGGTAATTACGCGGCGTTAATTGCGCGGCGTGATGGCGGTGCGTCGTGAAGGGCCCGGGCTCGTGAAACAAAAAAAGACTCGAAGGAGAGGACGGAGGACAGAGGGCACTGGGAGAAACGAAATCGATAAGATTTCGTTCGAACGGGGGATCGAAAGGATTGTCGGTCGGTACTGTTCTGCTTAAGGGTGCTCTGACCCACAACACATGGACGTTACGTAAGATATAGTGAAGCCCGTGTCGAGCCAAAAATAAATCGAACAACAATAACGACGATATATAACAATGATGGCATAACGGAAAAAAAAAATAAATAAAGAGAGAGAAAACTCATTATCGCTGCCTGCCCCCCACGCACGCACGCCTCACCCGACTAAACAATAGGTGATATGATGTATTATAGTGAATAAAAAAAAAACAGTACTATAGAGAAACTCGACGTGTTGTCCTTCAATACTCGTACGATTTTTTTCCCTCTTAGCCGGAGGGATTCTTTCGTGCCCTCTGAATTTTCTTTTCTTTTTTTTTTCTTTACTTTCTGACTCCCGATACGATCTCGCAATCCATCAATCGCTTTGCGCTTGACGACGCATCCATGTGCTACAGGTCAGTACAGGCTAGTACTATATACAGCTATCGTTCTGTTCTGACGCGACGGTTCGTTCTTGCGTTACTCTCGAACCGCAGAGAGAAAAAATGCACGACTGGCGGCGTTTGAATGAAAGTGTGCAACATCGATCATGACAACAATGTGTTCCACAGCCAGCGATAGGTAGTGCAACGATCGGTTTAGTAAAGTCTCGCTGTGTTTTCTTTTTGGTTTTTAGTTGAGTAAAAAAGAAAAAGAGAAAAAACAACACTGACCGTTTTATCGGCTTATGGAACAAAGCGACAATAGTGAAACACAAGTGGTACGCGTGTCTATGTGCGTGTATGTACGTGTGTGTGTGTGTGTGTGTGTGTGTGTGCGAGATTAGCACAAGTGCAAATACACGGAGACAGATAGTTATATATAAATACGACAATAGCCAGCACCCCTCGGATTGAACGCAAATATAAAAAAGAAAAACGCAATAGTCTCAGTGTAACAGGATTACATTTATTGTCTCGATCTCTCCCCTGGCTTAGGCATATATTAATTACGTTACGTTTAAAACCATTCGTCGATACGTTCGGCGGCTTACAACGAGCAGTAATATCAAGTAAATCGGCATCAAGGGTACCAAACTGTCCACTATATCCGCGACAGAATTTTTCGCGTCACATCCGGGCCAGAGAGTCAAGGAGCAAAATCCGTCTCTTTTTTTCTTTCTTTTCTGTCTTTTTTTCGAGAAACGCGCTCGGGAAAGCCACTTGGTGCGTCGTGAAAAATGTCGACGTGGCGACTGAACGATTGAATCCGAAATCGGCAACCTCGAGAGTCACGCTCGAGGGGGAAGAGGAGGAGGGGGGAGCTTCGTACCCTCAATGCGCCGCGCTTTCACTGAGCTTCCTCCGCTCATTTGACTGTGGTACATCCTCGCAAATGAAAAAAAGGAAAAGATTATATGCGACTCCAAGCGTGTCTTTCCCGTGTGTGTACGTTTTCTTTTCTCTCCGTTTGACGTATGGGCTTTAACGGCAAGACGTAAACTCCGGGATATCGGCAAGCAGCACGCGCTCCGCGAGAGGAGGCTATCCTGCAATATTTCTCACAACAGGACGGCGAATATCTCTCCGCAGTCGATCACAAGTCTCAAGCTAATTAGAAGGTAGACCCGTCACCTCCCACCCGCGTCAACTCCCTATTTGCGATCGCGACGACGACGACGTCGTCGCTATCTACAAGATGGTACACATCGAACTTTCAATCTACAACGACCGGCCGATCCATCGTGGTAGACAGAAGATTCGTCAAATTCTATCTATATCATATATATGTATATATATATATATATATATATATATATATAAATCGTTATATCGCTAAGTCTTGTACTCGAGAACATCTCGTAACAATAAATACTATATAAAGCAAAATCGTAATGTTTTTTTTCCTTACAAACGAGCACCCTGTGTAATTTCTTACAAACGAGCAACCTTCTGTGCTTTCTTTCTTCGGTTTGTTTACTTAACTTCTTTTTGTAAGTAACAATCTGTTAAGCCACGATCCATAGGCCGAAACGAAAGCGTTATAACCCAAAGTACGTTCACAGCAAAGTAGCTCTTGTGACAACAAGATGAGACATTAAAAAAAAAGGACTTGCAAGCGTCTTGCCGTTGATCCCAAAGCATGCACTTGCGCATACGCACATTCTCTCTCTCTCTCTCTCTCTCTCTCCCTCTCACCCGCATTCTCTCCCTGTGTATTTCTTTTTACATAATTTTTCATCGATATATCTCTCGGCACTATAATTTAATTTAAACATAACTAATAGCAGCACAGTATAGTCCAGTACTGACCTATAATCATTGCGGACGGATGGATTCCGGGAATCTCGCTTCAACCTTCATCGCACATTATCTTCCGTTCTTTATCTACACTCGCTCTTTAAGGTTCAGTACTCGCACGTCTACGTATCTTATGTTCATACAAAAATATTAACGTTTGCATATATATATATATTTATATATATATATTTTTTATATGTATATATAAAATTTTTCTCTTACTTTCTCAAAGTACTTCGTTAAACCATTTGCAGTGAATCATTCGCCTCGCAATACTGCGTAACTCGAGCTGTCGAATTACCGGGGGAGGGGGATCGCCGGGGAATCTCGCCTATATCATTACGTAATCCGATTCAAACAGCTCGCGTGTGTATATATATATATATGTGTATGCACGTGTGTGCGCGTGTGCGTGTGTGTGTGTGTGTGTGTACGCGCGCGCGTGTATGTGTGTGCGCGGGTGTGTCATAGGCAAAAACTATGACCGATTAAATTTTCATGAGTATTCGTTGCTCGAGTCGAACAAGCGTCAACGATTCAAAATAGCGCAACGTACCGCGCCTTCGTGAGATTTCATCCTACACAGGAATATGACGGGTATGAAAATTGAGCAAATAATGTACTCCGTGTGCACCACATGCGAGGGAACGAAACCGGTCGAAACTAAACACGAGCGAGTCGCGTGAGCCACACGTTGGCTGTTTCCTCGAGAGATTTTCCGTAAGAGAGATCAGATATTTTCAATATAGGAACAATTCTTTTAGTTACAGCATTATTAATATCATTAGCACGGACGATACTTACGCTACTAAGGGAAAGCGATCGAGACGCGACGGACTCGCGTCTCTTCGCGGTATCACTGTAAAAATTCAAGTGTGTAACTTCTACACATTTACGTGTGTAAAATCGTAGTCGATTATCACGTATTTTTACGCGTGTTATTTTGCTCCGCGTTTCACCTGTTATTTCACCGCAGTCAGTTGCGTACATTTTGCACGCTCCAATATTAAATTACATATTTAAAAAAGTGTAATTTACGTGTAAACATTTTCTGTTTCCTCTTGCAACCTCTTCCAACAAAAAATATGTACCATTAATTCACCATAAACATACTACATTTTGTGGATGAAATCTTTTGCCTTTTTCAGATGTATGTATACTTTTATAATAAACTTATCGTATTGTAAATTTACATATAAATAGAATAAAATAAGTAAAAAACTTTGTTGATATGCAATCGTTAATAATATTTATAAACCAATATATAAAAAGAAAATATGGTTAACGTAATTTAATTAAGTAATCGTCCGATATAATAATCTTTACATGAGTATTAGTTGGCATGAAATACGTTCCGTATCTTATTTAAATAATTGTTATTGTCTAGAAAATTCGGCGTTATTTTTAATTATAAAGAAGATTAAAAATTAGTTACTAGATTGGTTAAAGAGAGAGAATCCTTAACGTTTTTACAAAAAGGAAAAAAATGCTACGAATTTCCCCCTTAACTTATAATATACATTTTCCCATAATGACACAAAACTCAGATCTTATAAAGGACTTGAATGTATAAAGTTGTTTTATATATGTACTTATTACATTAATTAGAAGTACACACTCCTTCATTTTTCCACATTTTACACGTATGTATCGTATTGTACACACACAAATGTGTAATTTTACACACACCGTGTATTGACTGTACACTTGGATTTACAGTGATAGAACGTGAACCGTGTGTCATCCCGAGACGCGGTTTAGGACACTTTCACCGAGACGACAATGTATGAAAGACTATCGGAGATTCTCTGAGGCGACGCGCCCGCAACTTCCCGTCGCAACCAACGTCGGTTGTCCGTCAAATCAGCAAAGTCGAGCGTTCCTACACGTGCGCGCCGACACTCCGCGAATCAACGGAAATCGGGTGATTCGCACGTTCTCGCAGGTGGCAACGTACGCATGTGACATTGCAATGCTAATGGCTGCAAGAAACCATATAACGCGCGCAGACTTGGCCCCGGTCGGGAGCGAATTGTGAGCAAACAATGGAGGGACTCGGTACTCGAGCTTGCCTAGACTGTTCACCTCATTACAGAGTCTCGCGTTCGTTACAGCGGAAAGATCCCAGCCGGGGATAGATTTTTCCGCGAGTTCAGACTCGTCAGTACAACTTTTGCTGAAACAAACAACGCGCGCATGCCTACCTTCGGCACCCAATCGAGAGATTTCACTTCTTCGAAAAACGTGTTTTCATTTTTCTTTTTCGCGAGACCGAACGCGCGACACATTCTCAACTGTCCTCGGGCAATCATTCTCTTACCTGCTACGCTAGTACGATTTACGCCGCTAACTCTATAATGAGATGACGAATAGACCAAACACCGATACAGAACCAGTAGTGTGTTCAGACGGGATAAGAAACAAGAGCGTAAAAATCGATTAATAATTATGCAATCGGTAATCACAGTAGCAGGGACAATTATATACGTAATATATATATATATACTATACGTGTGCGTCGTGTGCGTGTGTGTTTGTATGTGTGTATGTGTGTGTGCGTATTTCGTGTACAAGCACGTGTTCCTTATGTAAACAACCTTCTGTGATTTTTTTCTCAGGCACCTTTGCTTACGAGCTAATTGTCAAATAAATATAAATAATAGAAAATAATCTGACAAATCTTAATTAAGGAGATTAGGTAGCTTCCGTTATAGTAAAGTGTAAAAATAAGATCCAAGTATAAAAAAAAAAAAATGGGAGAAAAAAAGAGAATAAAACCGAAAAAAAAAGTTACGAGAGCAAATACATCTAGTCTTGCAACTTTCTGAGTATTTAGAGAAAGCATATACATAGTGTATATCTACGCGGTGAGGCGCACCGTGTAATTGTATCTGTCAAGTATCTGCGCCGTTCCATAGATTAATGCGATAGATGAGCGCTTAAATGTTAATACTCTAATCGAGCAAGAGCAATCGATAACGGCCGCAGTCGTTGTTAAACATCGCGTTCGGCACGATTGTCTCGAAAATTTCGTTTTCCTCGTTCTACCTTGCCACGAGAGAGAGAATTGACTGTCTGCTGTACTGAAACTGTACGAACTACATGCGCCAGAATGCACGTGGAGCACGTGAAATGCAGCGAGTCCGCGTACGATGCTTTTCCACACTACGTGTATAACCCGGGTAGAGTCTACGGCATCTATGAACTCGGGGCTGGCTCCAAGGCGACTTGACTTTTTAAAAAAACTGTCGAGAATACAGAAGGTGCACGTACGTGATTACTAGTAACACTCTTCGACACACAAGGAACACCGCGACGCCACCACTTCCTCGATTGCATCGAATCCTCGCGGAATTTGCAGAATAACTGATGAGGACTAATTGATGCGTGTGCCTCTCTTTCTTTCTTTCTCTCTCTCTCTCTTTCTCTCTATCTCTCTATCTTTCTCTCTCCCTCTCTCCCTCTCTCTCTCTCTTGCCAACAGAAACATTCACTCCGACTGAGGCAGAATCTCTCAGCGAGCGTTTTTTTTTTAAATAAGGCACGTGAAAAAGCCTCGACACAACTTTCTTCACTTGAGACACCAATGGAAGAACGTTCCGAAAAATCCAGATTGTTACCGAGTTGTTGCTAATTTGAAACGCCACGTTGAAATTTTTCATGTGACACACACACGTCACAATATCGTGCGGAACGAATATTTTGAAATTTTGCCGTTGCAAATCGGGAAACACAGATTATTTCCGGATGAATTTGTGAACGTCAGCATGCGCCGAGAATAAGCGCGACTTCCGCCTCTCAAGCACGAATCTTCCTTGGCAAAAGATCCCTCTCGTACACATTTGCAATTATTGTGCAAATTAGCGAAGTTTCATGAAAATCGGAAACGACAGCACCGTGATTATTCCTTTGTCAGACGCTACCGACAGTCCGATACAGTAACATAAGATTAGCATGTAAAATCGTTCACGCGATCCGAAGAAGAGGTCACGATTACTTTGTCGTACGAAAGTAATTTGGCACTTCTTATAAAGCGCGCAGTAAAAACTCAAGACAAACACATCGGATGATCGAATCATCGGATTCGTGTAATAAATGTTGCGTACCAAGTGAGAGGCAAACTCTGTACTGATTAACGTTACGAGTCTCGTCATCTTTCTGCCCACTTTATAATTGCATCGTTAGACATACGGTTAGTGCGATAGTAGTTAGACGCTTATTTCACAGCGAGTACAGTTATGACAATATTAGAATGCGAACAAGTGTGTGTGACGCTGATTATTAAATTTACCAGAGAGAAAACCATGACGCGTGATGAGACAGAACACCTTCCGAGAAATTTGTAAGGACAAATGATACACTGTAAGGAAGCATTAACAAGACTGTCTGAGCAAGGCTAAAGACAAAATCCCTTGAGAACGCACGACTGAACCCAAATTACTCAGCGAGATACGTGAATGTCCGCCGTAATTGATAGAAGCGCTTGTGGCTGTTAATTGAGATGATTAGAAGGGCGATAAGTTGCAACGTGGATCCGTATGACGCGCGCACGAGGAGGACGACCGCAGCAAGCGTTGCGCGAAGAAAACCGCGATCATTTCAGATGGTCCCCGAAGATTCGGTTATCGACGGGATCGACAAACGGAAGGAGATACTCGCCGCACGATACAGATCCACAACAACACGTCGAGTGACCATTAGAGGAAGTTGTTAAAAGAACCTGGTATGCATACTCACATTTTCGCCTGGAGCTCCGAATCCACTCAAATTATAATCACCCATTCCGCTGCCGCTATCTTCCCGTGGTGTGCCGGGGCCGCCGTTCGCTGGGCTGTTCTTCATCCCGTCGAGACCGTCGCCGTTTAGAACCGGACCCATCGTGTTAGGACCCATCGGTCCCATCGGGCCGCCTTCTGGTCCGCCACTCATTGGAAAGTCCTAAAACGTATCGACTCTTAATATTATTCTCGTCCGCACGAGTACTCGAAGCGTCAATTTATTTCTTCTCTCTCTCTCTCTTTATCCTGATGTATAGTAACTTGCAGATAGAACATACAACTCAGCGGAAAAGAATGACAGCAGAGAGAATGTAATAAATATGACGCGACACGTGGTAATAAGTTGCGGTAACGACAAGATCAATTGCGAAACTTACACCCGGCATATTTCCTCCAGGTACAGGCTTCATCATGGTATACATATTTTCTCCTCCGCTATTGCTGCTGTCTTGTGGGCTAGGCATGATAGGTGTACCAGGTCCTGGCGGACCTGTTGTTCCAGGCGGCCCTCCGTAGTTACCCGGTGATGACGACGAGTAATTCATTGGCTGCGTGTCACATCGTAAAGGGACGTTAGATCGTTCCGTTCTCCGCTTTGAAGGCGAGAGGAAACGTACATCGATATACGGAGTATTTATGTCTGCCCATACCGTGGATGTGTTTGGTTGCCACTGTTGTCTGCCACCCGGAGCGGCCATACTCATTGGCGGCATTCCAGGACCTCCCGGCCCACCCGGACCCAAAGTGCTATTAGGTGGTGGACCTCGCATGCCTGGACCGTAACTCCCGGGACCCATGGGACCCATACCCGGTCCTCGTGGAGGGTTCATTCTCGGATTCATGGGGTTCATTCCTGGCGGACCTAGGATAGGAATCAGAGTTCCGTACATTCGCTCGTGGATGCGAGGGTGTTAACTTTGCTCTAGTTCTATGTTAATGCTAACTGCTAATTGCGACTTCTGTGGGACCGACGATAAATCGCAGGTTTTTGTAAACTCTAATGGACTATCTTGTGTATAAAGTTTGTGCTCTATCGTGTGTACGATGATAACAATTGAGTGTGCGCTCAAATTGCCCGAATGAGTCATGCTTCGCCAAAGTCGAGATCGAGGTCGAAAGCGGGTGGATGACATGCTGGTCAAGCAACTGTCACCACACAAACACAGTGAGGAAGCTCATGCTGAAGATAGAAACAACACTGAATACAGAATCGCGAATTGTCAAACTTTTGGAAACAAAAATTACTTCCCGTTAGCTCCGTAATGTGATATTCTTATAAGATTTGTTTAAAAGCTCATCCTTTGCTTACTTGATAACATATAGTCGTTATATAACAGATTGTAGTTAAAACAATTTCTTTTTGTAAGAACACACAACACAAGCAATATAGTTTTAATAGTGTTCAAGGAATGTTTGTTAAACACAAATGTGATTTATCTTTTCCGTCCATATATGCAGTATAATTTCGCGGTGTGCAAATATTTTTAGTCGGTATTAGATGTTCCTGCAGAAAAATACATTGTGCCAATAAATCTGTGAGATGGGCTTTTTTCATCATTTAAAAATATCTGTTGCCCCGAGAGAATCTAATGAATCATGCATTCGCACACACGTACACTTGGCGTAAATATACCACGAATATTTTTCATATGATACACTTTGTACACGTACTGCACTCATTAGAGGCCCTTCTTTGATGAAAAATAAAGAAGTTACAAAATTAAAGTGCTATCAAACGCATTCTTTGTAAGTCGTATGGCCATTGTTTCTGTAAAATTACACACATCCTTGGTTTAACACACTTAATTGCGATTGTCATGCTGAATGCTAGTTTCAGATGAGCGAATTATATTGCAAAAGAGCAAAGCCAGTGCAATTACTTTTATGAAAATGGAAAAAAAATCTTAGAGGCAAGGAGGAGAAAAAAAATTAAAAGTTAGGCTCGACTAAGTCATGTAAGTGTGATTTGGTTGCTGGGTTGCTTCCTACCTTGCCACCCTACAAATTCTCCAGCTTCGCCTGAGGAACACAAGAGCACACATTAGTACGGCAGGTAGGTAAGGTCAGTTTCATGGTGGTAAAGCCTAGTTATTTTGCAGTGGTATAGCATATACTGTTCATTTTCGGAGCAATTTTTAAAACAATGGTAAATTATGTCACGACCACGTGTTTAACGAACGAAGTGATATAATATATATTGAACATCTCTAAGACAGTCATTTATGTAAAAATCGATATATACTTCAGAAACAAAATATTCTTCTGCGTAAGCTACATTTCTACAAATTCAAATTACACAATAGAATATCCCAACAGGCATTATCGCATACATTATAGTATAAAAATTACTCTCTTTTGAACGAAAAGAAACATACAAATTATAAAAGCGTATCAAACGTTTGATAAGATATATATTCATATAACAATTACAGAAATTGACTTTCTAGCAATCGTACACAAACTACACCACTGCTTGTAACTAGACAATTCAAAAACCAATCCACTCCACATCACAGCAATCCAATCCAATTTAAAATATTACTTATTCGTTTGTTGCTGTGTGGTTTTTGGTACGCATGCGTCTATGCCATTCTCCTTTCGCAATTTTCGTTAATGCCAGAAAAAAGTAATATAACGCTGGCATATTAAATGATCTCTCACCTTGCCTAGTAGGATCCATACTATTTGGCATCATTGGCTGTCCCGGTGGCTGTGAGAAGAAAAGAGATATAAATAATTTTATAATAAAATTTGTAATACAATTTCGCATAATTTCAAGTGAAATAAACGATTCGAAAACAGATGGAATACAAATATACAATCTATTGTTATATTACTTTACATATTTTTATATATTTTTATACTTTTATATATATATATATGTGTGTGTGTGTGTGTAAAGATACTTTTTTTTCTAACGTAAGCTAAGATCTATTCAGACATTTGTTTCGATAAACAAATTAACATATTTTTATCCTTACCCCATTAAAGTCATTTCCCATTTGTGGCATACGTACACCGGGTCGTGGTCCTGCCGGATATCTGGGGCCCATAAACTGTAACAAAAAGTAAACTCTCGCCATATCAATCACGTAAGAGAAAGGCTTGCAAAGAAATTTCCAGATGTAAATCAAGTATTTATAAAGTGTAAGTCATGATTACTATACACAGAATTGACTATAGATATAGTATAAATACCAGGCAGCCACAATAAGCAATCCGTGAGATGATAGGCCATAAAAATATGCATTTCAATCAAGTTCATCGCAGCACATTAGTTGGTAATATCATTTGCTAAGGTGCTTTCTGACAAACTGAGAATATGTCAATCATTTATTGTACGCGTTGTACATATATATAACATGTCGACACGGTAAACACGAGGAGGAAATTGAGACGATATCACTAGCGACGAAGGTTAGTAGTTGAACAAGTTTCAGCTGTACTATGATATGGTGCGATGACACAGCGGAATAAGTGATTCTTCATGAGTGAGAGTGTATGTGTTGAATGAGGCTTACCTGGGTGGACATCATCTGCGAGTGTGGGGGCGGGGGTGGCTGGGGGTGCTGGGGGGATGGCTGTGATGAGGGGTGTGTGGGCGGAGATGGTCGCATTGTCGAGTTGTTCTGCAACAAGCAACGCAAACGACAGACATGTAGCAACACTGCGATCCAGGCAACAGCTAGACTAGAAGGCTCGGGGATGATTGTGTTAATACTATGTCGGTCAGAGCATTTTGAGAGTTACCCAGAAGTTGTAATTAGGAAAATCTCACTCGGATGACGTCTCAGACCGCCGTACAGTAAAAGCTCGTTTCTTTCTTTTCGTAATTACAACTCGTGCACATGACGAAAAATTTCACTAGATTGTGAAATGAGACATACAAGAGTACGAGAAGATGCCAATCAATTAGAAAATGTACAACACTGTAGAACGTAAAACGATTTTGTCGGAAAAGTATGATGATGACTCCTAAGCATTACAGGATAACTATATTAAAAAGATATATCTATAGAGAGAAACCGCATTGCTTACGCACTGTGTAGCACTTTATCTTGATCTAATCTAGTAAGGGATAGAGGTATTTTATGACAAGCGACGGATGCATGATTTTTCTGCATTTTCCCTTAATATCCATATATATATATATATATATCAAATTTTTATATACTTTCCTATTTCTCTCTCATATAAATAGTCGATGCAAATATTACAGTTATCATATGTATTCTTATATCAACAGTATAAAATATAATAAATATATATTATTTGTTATGTAAAAAAAATATAAATAAAATGTTAATAGAATATTGAGGATGAGAAGAAAACGACTCACAGTCTGTCCCTTCAATTGCAACTAAACTTTTTTAAATATTATCATCATAAAAGTATCTATCGTACAATTGTGAAATTATATGTACATATTTACACATTTTATATATTCTGGAATTGTATTGTTTTTTTCGAATTCTTGTCAAGCGTTTGAATTAATATATAATTTAATGAAATCTGTCAAATTAATAACTTCCAAATAAAATGAACAATTCGTGAAACTTTTGTGAGAAGAGACTAGACTACACTCTAAGCAGGCTTTCATGTTAGTTATCCCATACATTCTAACGAGTATAACTTAAGCTGGCTATGTAACCCAGTGAAATGTCAAGACGTATTTCGCAAATGCAGTATCGCACAAACAGCAATATATATCTATAATATTTTTACATACCACTGTGTAACATGACCAGCGCAAAGTAGCACACTCGTCATACAATATGCTTATTGTACCACAGTATTGGTGCTAAATGTACTCTAACATCTATATAGTCCTGTTCTCGGTAGAATTTCTAGATTTGCTTTCTTTTTATGCGCCAAGGAGATGAGACAGTGAAAATGATACAAGAACGCACATACAAGTATTAGATAGAGAGCGGAAAGAAAGTAAGTACATATATACAGTATAGACAAGCATGACATAAGAACGTCTTTAGAATGTACACTTGTTTCAAAACGAATTGACCATGACTACGGCTGGTGTGTACATTTACTGGTAACACAGGGATACACGTTTATGTTGAATAAAGACGTATCATATAAAAGTGTATAATATAAATAATTCGTCTTCTAAAATTAAAAAAAAATATATATATATATATTTACGGAAATATCAGTTGTGACAAATGACCTATTCACATGTAAAGTACTTAAGAAATTGTCATATAAATGGACAACAATTATATCTATCGATAATATTCAAGTTAAACATTAACATATTCTCTATTTTTGTTTAGGGACTTCCTGTTTCTTCTTGATCTATATCTCACGTTAATTAAAACAAAATTCCTCTTTATCGCTATTGTGTTACATAATTGTTCATGATTAAATTGTAGATAATAATAACCAATCAACCAGATTTGGTTACGGTAAGTTAACTCTTGTACTGTATTTTATGCTTTGAATCAAGTGTAAGTTTTAATAAACAAGAACTATGCATGACAATGATAACAGATACATGACTATGTATATATACATATAAATGTACTAGATGAATATATAAAAAGAACTAGTTCGTTTTATTCAAAGCGTTCGTTTTAATTCTCCCTTTCCAAAAATTCTAGTGTTTTTTCGTGCAGTCTACTAAAAAAAAAAAAAAAAAAAAACTAAAAANTGTTATAACGGAGATAAGTCGAATTTTAATCAATTCTCCAGCCTATTGAAAACTGGAAGAGATCCTGCTAGTGAATTTTGCAAAGACAACACTTTAAAGAGCAACTGTTCTGAATTTAAAACAAATGCTAGTAACCCTTTCTTTCACCATACACTCTGCAAGTAAAAATCGAGGAAAACGAATGGTATTGAAACATATGAATGTTATAAAACGAATAGAAACTCACGGGGAAGAAAGCAGGAGGCATAGGACCGCCAGGCATTCCATCATTAGGCGCCATTTGACCGATTGGAGATGGAGCTGGTCCAGCATTCTGCAAATAATTTGTAGTTCCTGTAGTTGATGACAACTCTTCCTCTCCAAAAAGAAAGCTTTACTAACGAACATTATACTGTCCAATAATATACAAGAATAATCGAAACTCGCAATGCATTTGAAATTGCGCTAATTATTACGCAATACTAATATATGTTAGTATGCGTTAATATACTCTCTACGCAGAAGAAAGATTAATATGTACACAAGTCGGCATAATGACCTTAACGCCGTAGTAACTGCGAGTTTCATACGTATATGTGTAAATACGTACAGTCAAAAGTCGTAGTCACTACGTGTTAAGACTATCATACCGCTCTCTGTACGTGTATTTAACTCAAGCGTACACATCAATTGAGCATAAATCTGTCAACGTACGTGGGCAATGCCATTGACGTTGTAAGCACTGTTCACAAATCCCTGGAAACAGAACATTTCACATAATATCCAAGGTTTTAAGACAGTCAACGAGGGACTGAATGGCAAGTGTCAGTGCGTAAGTGCCAATGACAAACTCCGAAATACAGCACACGTAAATATATATCAAAAACGCCAGTGGCGTAGCTGAAGTAGGCTCCAAAAAGTGGGCTAAATTGTTTGGTACGTGTCTACAAACGCTGAATTTAAGATTTTGTCGCCGATACTCATTGTATACTTATGCACTAACGCATAAGTTACAAGCGATTAGTGCATTTACTACATGTAATCCACTACATGTCTCAGATCTACTTACATAATCGTGAAAAGCTTTGGCCTCGCTGCTATGTTCACAAGTGTCTCTTCTCTCCGGTGCTGCACAGTACAAGTCCCAAAAGACACTGTGAAAATATTTCACGATTATTTTACGTCGCACAAATCGCTCCCGATCACTCAATGGCGATTATAGCACTTTCGCGAGACTAAAAAGACACCGATGATACTCACCACCACCAAGAGTGCAGAAATCCAGGCGGTTCTCCAAGTGTAATGTTTTTCTCCCATCGGATCTGCACAATCGAAAGCAATATTGTAGCACAAACGACACTCAGATAATACCTCGAAATAACAATAACATGAACGCAGAGTATCGTAACGCATTATTACCTCTGAAAGAAAAGTCTGTGCTGCCTTTTGTGCACCCACATGTAGCAAGTATTCATACACATAAAGGGCCAACCTGAAAATAAGCGTAACATGTATGTGAGCGGCGCTGGAAAATCAAGACCGTCAAAAAGAAGTCTCCAAGGTACCGCACATTACACACGCGCGAAAACGTCGAAAGGACGATAGGATACGCAAAATGGTAGGCGCATTACGCGAATGACAATCGGTGCGCGCGCGCTGGCCATTTCTTTTTTTCTCTTCCTGGTTCTTCCTAGAAAACCCATACTTATAGCGCGAGACCGCCTTTACGCTCGCATTTCCTTACGGGATCGTCCGGTAAACGTAAAGTTAATGCCGACTTTCCCCGCGTAGGCTGCAACGCGGTAATAACGCATCCGACGAACGCATTGCTGCTCGTGACGGGACCGGCTCGGAACGATACAAACATGGCGCGGAATTACGCGGAGAGGACGCGCGTACTGACAGCACGGATCAATCGTCTTTGCGTGAAAGCGGGTTACGCGCCGCGAATCTCCGGTAAACACAACTTCCCCGCCGGTCGTATCGCGACTTCTCGGACTGGAGAATTCTTCTTTTTTTTTTCATTTTTAACTTCCATTCCTCTCCCAATCGCGTTGCTTGACGACCCGAATCTCTCTTCGTTGTCCGCGTCACCAACGTGGCTGTACTTAGATGTCTGCTTAACTTAAGCTAGATTGCACTTTTTGCCTTTGGAATCAACTGTATAACATAGCGTTGAAGGGAAAGAAAATAAAGTTCCAGTGCGTAGCATTGATTCAGTTAAAACGAACAGACCTTACGACATGTAACTACAAGTGCAGACAACGATCTGCTCTGCCGATCGACCAATGGGATCGTTAATTTCCGATTTGTTCGCCAGAATTATAATCATTCAAAGAGAAGCCGCAAACCGGAGTCGACTGAACGCGGCTTTTGTTTGCAGCAATCAATTACATCGGCAATTTTGACGGATTAACTTCGTTCAAAGACTTCCCGACCCGTCTTAAATAGAATCGTAAATAAAAACGGCACGAAGAAAGGTGCAACCAGAGATCTGCTCGTTTCAAACGCACATTCTGTTTCTCGGGCAAATTTTCCTTTCCCTCGCCCTGCCAATAAATTTCAAGTTTTATTTCACGTACAAGACAGGTGACGCAGATAGGTGACGTAGTGCGGATGAAAGAAATCTTACGCGACCAGACGCGACTTTGCAACATCACGGATGTAATAAAGTGTCAAACGACAGAAACTGCATCGCCGATCGCGGTCGTTAGGAGCGATTTCGAATTACCGAATGGCTACTCCGATCGAGGTCACTTGCCGGCTAATTAACTATAGCCCAACTTTCTAAGGGAGATCGCGGGAGATCGGCTAATCCCCTCGTTTCCAACGTCGCCTTACACTTTCAAAGTGTGCTCGCGCGGAGCACCGTTTCGCGCCATTACGACGGCCCGTCGTGCGCGTAGTACACACACACACACCAGGTGTCATACATATATGTATACCTGACATTGCAACTACGGTCACTCGCGCGACTTTCAGCCTTATACGCGTACGCATCGGATGTAAAGTCACATGAAACTCCGAGCAAGTGTGTTACAGCATACACGACGCCAGGTGTACGTACGTCCGTCCGTCCGTCCGAGAGTTGCGTTGAGATTCGAAACTTCGAAATCGGAACGACGCGGCCGCTCATGATGGACGGCGTCATCCCGCGAATTCGCGTGAATTCGCGCGTTGACTTTGCCGCGCGGACGATCGAGCCTTTCGTATGTCAAGACTCGAATCGATCGACAGGGGGAGGGAGGAAGGGGACCGGGGGGNGGGGGGGGTATCGTGACGTCCGCGAAACGGGAGAAAAAGAGACGATGGAAAGAACACAAATCGACGGCTCATCGGTAAACTGGATTAACCCGACGAACCGGGTTCTCCGGTCGCGATGTACATACGATCGCGGGTACACGCTTCGAGCAAAAAGAACCGGTGAGCGGCGGCGGCAGCGGCGAGGGGGGAGATCCGCGGATGTGGAAGAAGCGCGAGGGGAAACGAGGGGAGGGGGAGGGGAGTCAGGAGGATGCACGAGAAAAATGGAGTTACTGGGCGATCAATGGCCGGCCGGAATTTTCACGACGGCTCGCCGATTCTTCCTTTCCGTTGCCCCCCCCTTTCCCTCTCGTTATCGCACTCTCCGCCGCCGCCGTCGCGCGAGTGCCGCCTTTTTTTTCCTCGTCGCGCGCTTCCTACGCACGATACGTACTTTTCTCTCGCTTGCGAGTCCGAGGGCACCGACGACCCTTTCCCTTTCGCGTACATCGTCGTCGTGGTGGCCGGTCAGTTCTTCCAACGTAAACACAAGCGCGCCGCCAAGTTTGCTCTGAGAGCGCGCTGGACGGCCGAGTGAAAAGAAGAACGGCAGATCGGGTACTGCGCGCGTGCACACGTACGCGCGCGCGTATCCGTGTGTTCACCGCGCGCTATCGCTCGTTCTCTCTCTCTCACTGTCTCACTCTGTCCCTAGGGCGACGGTGTCTCTTCAACGTGCTGCTGCCGCTAGTCGCTCCGCTGTCGACGACGTGCGACTCGTGTCGAACGAAATACGAACGTACACTCCACCGAGAAAGGTGCGCACACTTCGGTGCGCTCGCGCGTGCGCTCCCTCTGCCTTTCCGTCTGTCTCCCACTTTCTCTCTCTCTCTCTCTCTCCTTTACCCCGCCGCTCTCATTCTGTCTCATTCACACTCACTCTCTCGCGCAGTCACTGCCTCTGTTCCACTCGAACTCTGTTTCGCTCACTGCGTGCCGAAAGGAGTCGCGGGAGGTGAGTTCTGTCTCTTTCTCTCTCTCGTCCCACCGGTCTTATCCGCTCACTCGCACGAGACGAAGGTCTTCTCCGCCCCGCTTTCGTCGCGTCGCGATCACGACACGTCGCGTCACAACCGTAGCGAGGTGTCCGACTGCTGCGCGCTATTAGGACGACACGATGTGGCGTGCCGCCCGTCGTGTCGTCGCCGATTCAGGTGCGTCGCTGGGAACGTCTCGGCGTTGTCGCCACCGTCGTCCTCATGGTTTTTCCACCGCGCTTCCACCTCATGCGACCGCCGTCACTCTCCGGGGCACTGCGCGTCCTCCTCCGTTGTGCTTCCTATTGTCTCCGATCACTGCACTGCCGCGTCGGCCGACCTCTCACTTTACCCCAAACGCTCGCTCGCTGTCGTCGACTCGTCCCGCCTCGCCTCTTGGACTCACGCCGCCCATCACACGGAAACTCGGAGACACCGCCGTATCCGATAACGAACGCGGCCCGTATCGCTTTAAATCCCGATCGCGCGTCCCGGTCGAGCCGTACGCCGCGGCTCTCCCTCTCTCTCTCGTCCTCGATAAGTTTCAGCTTTTGTCGCGCGCGCTGCCCGAGAGCGTCTCGCAGCAACACGGGAACGGTGTATGTAGTGTAACGTGTACGCGATTCGCGCTATCGCGACACACGTAACGAGCGCGCACGTACGCAAGCGCGCGCGTACCACGCACACCCGAACAGCGGCGAGACGACCGGGACGACTGAGGAAGAAGGGAGGAACTTACCGCTCGTGTAAACACGAGCAAGTTCGGAAGTGTGACTCGTACGGAGTTCGTACGCGCTGCACGACACACGCAGACGAGTCGACGGTGGATATATACCTGCCTCTCTCTACCTTCCTACCTCGTCGCATTTCGTCTCGCTCGCTCGTGCCCGCTCCTCCTTTTCCCTCTACCGCTCAGGCGCCCGCGATATCGATGCGCTATCTTCGTCCCTCGAACAGGCTGGGAGTGGTGCGCGCGCATCGCCGTTTGTTATGTCAGGGCCGCACGAACGAGGGGGCGAGCTCGAGGGCCCTCCTTGTTCGCGTCTCGGGAACAAGATATTTTTCCTTATCGATGCGAGTGAATCGATTTTATCGCGCCGCGCGGATAAAGCGGAACGTAAATTCCGAGAACGGGAATTTTCTTTACTCGAAAATTTTTCGCAGATGCATTTCGCTATTAAGTGAATTTTTCATCAATGCACGATTCCATTAATTTTCATTAATACTGCGACCACGAATCGGTGAAAAGTTAACATTTACGCATATTCGAGGGGTCGGGTGACCGAAAACCTTCGGAATATTGTAACGAGGACGGCAACGATCGTTGTTTGCAACTTATGCGGCAGCGCGGCTGCACGGTGAATTTGAGCTCGACGAGAGAGATCGATTGACCTGCGCTTCGTGCCTGCGCTCAATCGCAGCCTGGACAACCGTGTCCCTCTTGTTAAATACTTGACGAAGTAACGATTCTCGATCCTTTTGTGCTTTCCTGTACAAAAGGTGAAAGTACCTTTGTCCGTTGGTTTGACGAGTCATTTTAGCAGGAAATACTTCAAGTTAAAAAATTTCAAAATTAACGCGAAAGAACGAGCGTGGACGAACGAGCGTCGTGAGGCGCGCTAGTGGTGACCGCGGAAAATAATCGCGATTTCTCAAATCGTCGATTAGATATCCCAAGGCGAGTTTGCAACACACGTTGTTTACGTGCGTCAGATTACACGATGACGAAAAAAAAAAAGAAAGAATGCTGTTTGACCACGCTCGATACATTGCTCCTTCGCACTATATAATTACGATACGCTCATTTCTCAGCCGACCTTGCCTTATTAGCCTCAGAAGCTTGTCATTAGTAACAGCAACAATGTAGCGAATCGCCACAGGGGTGAGCGCATAAATCCTAGACGGATCCTCCTGCAATTATACCGATCACGAGAGAAAGAGCTCTTTTCTCTCTCTCTCTCTCTCTCATCGTGCCAAGCACCGTTACAGAAATCGGACATTTCCCGTGCTCTCGGCGATATTTGCCACGGCAGAGGAAATCTCGGCCGCGAAATTCTCGCGCACGCGGTTGCATATTATGCGGAATCGCGGTGAAAAAATTCGCCGATATTGGGATAGGTCGATACGACGAATTGCAATAAAGGGCGCAGGCGTAAAACAAGCGAGAAATTATACGCAACACGTTGGCGGCACATTGTTGAATAAAGGACGACGAGGCGCCGAGAGAAGTGAACGAGCGGGGATAGGGGAGGAAAGAGGGGGAAGGAACGCGGCGCGTTTGAACCCGCTTTTGGCACGGCACTGACCTCGTCTCGGCGTCCGATTGGACAGCAACGGCGATGCACACAGAGTGTGCACACACCGTTCAAGTACCCGCTATCGGCGTGCGTACGTCGACAAGCGTGGAAGCGAGGGAGGAAGCGAAAGGGCCGCGACGGGTGAAGAGAGCAGGGTCCGATTATGCCCGAGCGCCGGCGGACACGTCCGACGTGAAATAGCCGACAATTGACGCGATAGAGAGTTTGGCAAGAGGAGCGGCGGGCGAGAGGAGACACGCTGTTCTCTCGGCTGTACCGCTTCCCCTTTTTCAATTTTATCGTGCGATCGACGTGCACATCGCCGTCGCTCGGCGACGTCGCTATGCGAAAACTAGACGAGAGAGAGAGGGAGAGAAAAGGTATCCGGTATAATTCTGTCTTCCTTCCCTTCTTTCGTTTCTTTCGTTCTTTCTTTCTCCCCTCGCTCGGCCACGACGGACGAGACAAATCGCGCGCCGATTCCCCAAGCCGCCGGGAAATTAATCGAGACCCTCGGGAGGTAGAGAGACGGACGCGAGATAACTTGAGATCGTGAACGTTTACTTCGCGTTACATTGTGTCGGACAGCAGCGGGGCCTACGCTCGACACAGTTGTCGCTTCTCATACCTGCGCGTCTTCCGATGCACACACGGTTGCCATCGCGGAGAAGCACGTCTCTCTCTTTCTCTCTCTCTCTCTCTTGCGTACGCCGCGGTTTCGAACGTGGGAGAATTCCTTTCTCGGGTATCTGTGTCCAAAGATTTCTCTTTGTTCCTTTGCGCAAATATAACGTGGAAAGAAAATTACGGGCAGCAAGGGAGGGGGTACTTCGGTTTTAGCGACTTTTCGTTCGTACTGCGAAATTAATGCGAGTTTTCAGCCCCGCTCTGCTTCCTTTTGTCAATTAAATGCGAATAAACGCACTTGCGTCACTCGAGATCAATTTCGCATGAATGTTACGAGAGAGAACTTGACCGAAGCCTAAACAGGTAATAATAATGTTCCTAAGGCATGCGCCTTCTTTTTCTACAATACATCGTATGTCGACACAGAGCTGATGGTCCAATGAGAAGAACTCGTTTTCGTGAAATAAATTCTCTCATTGAAGCACCCGATGAGAACATCCACATGCAACCGACGTGGAATCCACATAAGGAAGTCGATTCCACGTCAATTCCCCGTCGACCCCACGTCAATTTCACGGATACTCTCATGGGACGTCAGTCACGTTCCGACATGCGACATATTGTGTAACACGCCTTAATCGAGGCTACCTGTAATACTTCTGCCGCACATCGTATTTATTCGCCTTCTTTCACCCGCGTTCACTCATCTCGTGACTCCGTAGCAATGCACTTTTCCACAAAGGACATTCAAACATATCATCACAAGGTATCAACTTGATACAAAGATATCAACTTGAAAATTTTTTTAATACTTCCATGAGTACTCTGCAATGAGTTTTCACTCTGGCGTGTAACACTGAATTTCCTTTTCAGTTTTCCCTGCAACGATGGACGGCCCCGGAACTGTCACGTGGGAGGAATTTGTCGAGAATGCGGGAAAATTCCTTGCTGTTTCAGACAAACTGTCTGATGGCTGGGAGTTTCGTGGCGATAAGGTACGTTCTGTGTTTTAGTAGTACCACGTATTGAGACACTCGCAATCTTGTATTTTGTTGTTCGTCCGGAAAATGGATAAAATTTAATATCCACATGTTCGAGGCGATTTTCATTCGGGATACAACCGCGTGTGCTCGAACACGTGCCAGGATCTAAAGCGAAATTGAATCGCATCTTTTTGGCGATGTACAATATCCGTTCAATGGCGAGTGTGTCCTTTATTTCATCGTAACAATGATATGCACGCTCAGGATATTCCTGGACAAGCGTACCTAGTTAGGAAAACCGTGTGCTTCCTACCGGACGATTCTATTTGGAGAAATGATGAAGCGGCCGACGATAACGACGGCGACATCGAGGAATTTCACGCGAGATTTCAGGAGGATCCGCACGAAGCTCCCTCCGTGGCCGAGACGCCCTTCATTACCGAGCACCATATATTATGGTCCATGAGTTACAGCGTCCCGGTCCTCTTCTTCAACGGATGGAAGTCAGGTAATTCGGCGTGATGTCGACCATACCGTGCAACCGATTCTTGACGATCTCTCAAAGGTATCTCAGAATCGCGCCAGTCGTTAACTGCCGCCGTCTTCGCACGTGTGTATTCTTGTCTTATACGCAGGGAGATCCCACGCTGAAAAAAAAAAAAAAATGCTACCATTCAAGTAATATTTATTCGATCCGAGTAAAATTTGCACTGTGATGTACAAAAGACGTGCGCATGGCGATAATACGAGCGGAAATCTTCAGCGCAAACGACGGAAGTCTTGTCGCGAGGTAGACGCGAACACGGATTGGTCGCCGGATGTCACGCACGTAAACTGTACTTAACACTCGACACTAAATAATAACGCGTATAAAATGAATGCATTGGCGTACAAAATGAATGTACAGGCGAATATCATGCTCGTAAATCGAGACAATCGCTGAACGATGATCGCACGACAGTCGGCTGTGGCCGAAAAGACCGACGGTGTAACGACGATGTGCGCGATTGCGATCTATTCTCGATGGCACCGACAGTGCGCTAAGAGAAGATAGGATATTTCGTGAACGACTTAATATAGAAAAGGACCGACGGTCTGAATTGCGTCTAGTGATGTCTCTCACGACATTTTCCTTTGCGTCTCGCGGCGACTCTCGGGATGTCTCACAGCCGCTGCTAGCGAGCGAGCTTTTAAAGTTCGCCGAACAAAAATATCGAACGTGTATCGATCAAGGGATCGCAGCGTGTCTCGCATGTTATAATATTCTATTTACTCTTTATATTATTGTTATTTATTTATTATATATTACAATTATTTATTATTGCTTATATTTGTGAGGATACCTATCATTGATTTAAGACCAATTTTTTTCTGCGTACATAGAAATCGAATAAACGTAATTACCCGTTTTTTAACTTCTCAAATCAAGTAATATTTTTGTCAATTTAAGTGTGCAAGCCTTAGCGCGCAACGCGTGACCGAAATATGGTTCGCCACCTCCCTGTTCGGAATTACGGTTTCCCCGGGCTTCGTGTCCATCGTTCGCAAAACGTTCACAAAATCCATGTCCCTTGATAAGAATATTCGGAGTGCGTGAAAAATGCGCATCGTCTGCGCGAATTGCGTGTGATTCGAGCGAATCAGGTATTTGTCGAACGTGTCAACTTGTTTCGGACGGAAAGAGTGGATGGAATATTCTACAGTTTCGTAAATTCGACCTACAGAGAGAGAGAGAGAGATGCACAGTATGCGGTTGCGGATACATTCGTGTTTCCTCGTTCGCGTTCATCGTTTATTGATTATAAACGCAGCGTGTTCGTCTATTTCAATATTCGCACAGATATTCCGATGGCATAATTCACCCCGATTTCACTGCATTTCAACGGGACGGAAATGAACGCAAAATCGCTCGAGCGGAAGTAAATGGGCGCGCACGCATGTCTCATACGGATTAATTAACGCTAATCGTTTTATTTCTTTTTTTTTACGCATTCATCAGCGGCAGGAAGCAATTGTCGTGAGAGACGTTATGTCCTTCTTCCCTTTTTTTTAGATTACCCCGGCGTCAACCCGGTGAGCGTAAACGAGGCTCAAACGGTCCACAGTTCCAAATTGAATTACACGGAATTATCGCAAGCGATCCACCCTATCGTCGGTACCCCGTTCCTGCAATTGCATCCATGTCTGTCCCGGGAATTGCTGCGAGGCATGCCGGACAGGTGAGTAACAGCATCAAGTGACGGCAAAACTAAAATTTCAAAAGCCGTATCAACGATACGGTAGAAAATTTTGTGTCAAAAACGGCCCACTGAAATTTGAGTGTTACTTTAACACGAGGTATATGTTGAAAAGTATACAAATATAATGTTAAATTCACATATTCTCATTGTCAACGTATTACTTTTCAACATATTCATCTTGTTAAAGTAATACCAAATTTCACTCGTTTTGAAATTTTTTTACCGTATACTAGAGAAAGAGAGAGAGAGAGAGAGAGAGAGAGAGAGAATCAATCATACGCTTTATCCTTCTTTATCGAAAATTCCGTAAATGTTGCAGCAAGAATAAACTCGTCAGTTGGCTGAGCTGCGTGGCGTCTGCGGCCCTAAATCTCAAAATACATCCGGAATACTACAAGTTGACTTGCTGACTTGGTGGCCGCCCGTCCCAAGCCGCTCCTACGAAAGTAACGAGCGTTACATTTCAGTATATCTCACTCGCGAGCATTGATTTACATACGTAATTGCAGAAATACATCTTTTTACTCTTGAGAAAAAAAAAAGGAAAAAAGAGAATATTCCAACGACGTAAATGAGCATCGGCTAAGTGGTCATTTACCGGTGATCGGTCATTCACTGGCGCATCCACGTCGGCGCGTCTCGAGACTGGCTGCGAATAGTTTTCGATCTTATCTCCGGCGGAGCGCCTCGAGTGATTCCGGTCACGAATATTCGCCGGCGATTGGAATAGAATCGCACGGGGGCGATGGCGACGGTGGAGGCGGCACGGCATGGCGTCACCGGATCTAGCATTGACCCACGTCGGCCGCGGGCCGGCTAAATTGCTCGCAATTGGGCGCATTCTCGCCGAGAGACCGGAGCGTGGAAAAGAGAGCGCAATTAATGCGACGGGGCAGCTCGCGCGAATTCATTCGCGCAAGGACAATTTGCGCGCGTCCCCGGAATGTTTATTCCCGCGTACACGGTTTTTCTGCGTGCCTCCCGCTATCTCGCGCCTATCTCGTACACTTGTATTCGCGTCGCACGCGTACAGTGTCTCTCAACCGGCGCTCTCTGCGCCCGCTAATAATCCCGTTATTCCCCCCTCCACTGCCCCCTGCTCGCCCCGGGGCCCGTGAATGTCCGCCTCGCGGAACACGTGCCGCTGCTTTAAATTACAATAGCAAATGCACGATGTCATTCATCTGTTGACCTTCATTTGGATCAGCCGCCTGGTACTTATTGTACTTCCTCCTTCGGCCGTAGAAAAAAGCGCGGAAGAGAGGTCATCGCGCATTGTTAACGGCCGTTAAGGGCATTACTGGGCGTCGTTAGAGAGACGTTTCGGCTGAATGAAGAGGGAGACTGTTGTCGGTCGCAGCGAAATTCGCGCATATTTGTTCTTGAGCGCGCGAGAGTGCCACACCGGCTTCTTACTTTTGTTTATCGAGCTTAGGCGATGCTCATTCTCGTTGACCGCGTTTCCGTTAGTCCAGACTGACGGATCGGGATATTGCGAACCGTTAGAGAAAAGATAAACCGCACGACCTCTCTTCTTGCGCGACGTCACCGAACGAACGCGTAATCGTCTGCTATGCTGCTTTACGTTAAATCCTGCTTATCTTATATTTTAACGAAACCTCTGCGTAGTTTTAATCCGATTTAACCAGATTCGTCGGAAATACTTATGACTCTTGCGTGCAGCATAGATGAACGTGTCATCCTTGCACACGACAAGAAGCGACGAAGCGACAATCAATCAAATTGCCAGCTTCTCGGGAGTAATACAAGATGTTCACGCATGCGATATTATCAGGTAGAAGAGATTCTTGAAAAAAAAAAAGAGGAAAACAGAAAATAGAATAAACCGGGAGCGCATAGAATAAATGTGACTTCGTCCGGCAGATTGATCAGCGTTGCGGGAAGCGTCCTGTGTGAAGGAAGTCGCTCCCTCTTCATCTCCGTTTTCACTCAGCAATTTCTCGCTCGTCGGAGACCGTGCGATACCATTAGCGCGAAAGAAACTCGAGTGATCCACCGAGGCGAACGGTAGTCGCTGGCTCCACCTATAAAGGCGATCGAAGCTACACGACAGATCCATTCCCCGTCGCCCGCGCGCTTTTCGAACGAGGCTTAGCTCGAATTACACCGCGCGACTCTCGATCTGTCGCGCTCGTCTTCGCGCACAGTGAGTCGACGCCGCGTGCGCGCGTTGCAAGCAGTCTCGGCCGCCCGGCACGCTACTCCGACACGGTACGTTTCTGCGTAGCCGACACGAAGATCTGGAAAGTCGCGTGCGTTACCGGAAGCGGACGGATATTCGGAAGGAAGTCGTGATTGCCTCGTGTCTTCTCGAAATCGGCGAGAAGGGAGGACGGTATCGCCTCCCTGAGTCGAAATTCTGATGCTCTCGAGGAGAATTTGCATCTATTCAGATTATTCATAGTCTGATACAAATTTACTCCGATGATATTGACAATTGTCAACTTCCCTCTCTTGAACCTTTAAATAGACACGGAGAAAAGAGATCGGTTAAATTAACGTGATAATGTAATTGTTATGTACAACATATGTTATATTACACTTATATTGCCGAGTGAATAATTATAATGTTGATGTGATGTTACGCTTGGTTGGTATTTACTGGAACGTTAATTCAACTAATTTTTCTCCTCCATACACGGATTTCATTCTAACACCACCTTGAACAAGTTATTTTGACGTTAAAACAGGAAAAACGGAAATTTGAGACATCATCAGGATGAAAGTAGGAACAAATTATATTAACGTTTGAACATTAATCTTGAACATTGACAATACATAAAATTTGAACGTTGTCGGTACAAATGGTTTGTTCATTTTTCGTTTCACCATATGGCACTTATAAAGCCCGTGTTTGGCTCTTCACGGCCTGATACCCGATAATTTGAATTAATGCAGTCTAATCATTAATTTACAAATTATATTATTAGAATTGTGAAGCTGAGCCCATTTTGCCATCTTAGCTCATACAGTGTTGTAAAATCAAAGGTTTAACACAGAGCCGGAATTTTGACTCTCGAGTTCCTTCCTTCGATAAACGTCCGCCGAAACGGATGCCGCGCAGCCTCGAATTCGACTCGGCTTCCGGAGGATCAGTCCCCGTGAGGATTGATTCCTTCGTGTCCTCTCATTCAAACGAGAACTCGCGACGAGTGGAAACGCGCGGCGCTCGTTATCTGAAATTCAGGAGGCGGTTATATCGATCCCCACGATGCGTCGCGTGGGCAGTACCTCCTGATATCTGATTCGTTGCGTCCGTCAGGTGTGGAAATATAGAAGCGCGCGGATAAAATCCAGGGTGTCAATGAGTTTTCCATGGCGACGCGCGCGAAATCGACGGGAGTGGGAGTAGCCGCCAGGCGAGATACACCTTTTACGTACCGTCCGTTTTGCCCTCGACTACATCCCTCCCTCTCGCCCCGTAACATCCGCTTTTCTCTCGTCTTGCAACTCGCTCGCTTAATCCCGAGGTTCGTTGATGAGAGAGAGTTTTTTCTACGATTTCTTTTTCAAGGCCCGTGGCCTTGAGAATTCTTTGCCGCCGCGTCTGCTAAATTGATTCTCGTTATGGGACTCTCCTGCTGACAAACGCCGAGGAGACGCTCTTTGACTTTTTTTCCCCCTCAAGAAAAAGACCTCTCTCATCGCGTAATAGACCAGGCGGAGACGCTCGTTGCGCAAGCATCGCGCGACGACGTTCGCGTTTCTGCCGGATGGAGCCAGAAGTCGTCGGTGAAACGGATTAGGATGAGGCTCGCCAAAGTACGAGAAGGCGACACAAAAAAGTACCGGCCTGAAGGAGAAAGGAAAGACCTCCGGTGACCTCCTCCGCCGGGGAGCGATCGAGACGCACGCACGTGCGGCCGAAAGCGAGACTGCGCGCGCTGTGAATCGCCACGATTTTTTGCCTCACCCGCCGCTCGCCGATTTATCTCTCTCTCTCTCTCCTCCTCACGTCTCTCCCCAGCCACCTCAACCCACCCGTCGTGTCTCGCGCGCTTTTCAAAGTGGACGTCACACGCGCGGCGGCTTACAGTCCGCCAGCACGCTATAAAGAAGCAATTTTACACCGCGTCGCAACAGTCTCGCGATCGTCGCTGTGCCGCGCAGACCGAGTCCTCGTTATCCGGGAGCGACTAATCGCGACGTTCGTTCGCTCGCTCATCCTTTCATTCATTGGTCGGCCTGTTCCTTCGTTCGTCCGCACGCGAGAGACGCGCGATAATCGCGCTCCGTCCGCTGCGAACGAAGCGCATTGTGGTGCTTCTCGATGAATGAATTACGCGACGCAACCGCCGGTGCACGATTGAGAGACGGTGAGAATATAAGCCCCGAAGTTACTCGACTCCGCTCCGCCCTGATCGTGCGCGAGTTCCTCTCGAAGACATCCAACGCGCGTGTGTGCGTTCTCGTGCAGTCGAAGTCGAGACTCGGTTACACGCAGGTGTTTCCGTATCGATGGAAAATTCTCGTCTTGATTGCACGCGAAGCGCACCCTTCCGCGCTTCGGCCGAAAGTGCTCGCTGTGTACGACATGATATTCGATTGTGCGACACTGAAGCGGAACAATATGATAATGAACATTTTAACCGCAAGATCCCAACGAGGTGTCGTGCGTATATAGCGTTCGCAAATGAGCGATTTTCCACGACATGTTTATTTCCATGGAAATTATGAAAATGAGAAGCTACTTGTCGACGACGTATACGCACGTCGTACGCAGCGAAAGGGTGAAGTCTTCGGATCTGTATTAGGTGGAACGAGTATCTCGCTGTGAGCAATGAAATGTAACGTGATTTCTGGCGAAAGAAGTTTCCCGCGCTACTAAAAGTCGTGACGACGCTTAAATCGCGATGTCCGGTAACGCTGGCAGCGCTTTTCTCTGGGATTCGTGTAGACCATTTGTAACGTACAATTTTCCACTGTATAGGCTACTTTTCGAAAGCGTTCTTTCCGAGGAAACGTTTTACTCGACAGCCGTTCCAAAACCTCACAAGCGCTCCCTACTCGGAGGAAGGACCAATCAGAAACGCCTGTCAAGTTTTAGAATAGCCGTCGAGTAAAATTCTCCTGGAAAAGGATGTTCCGAAATGCAGCTCTATTTGCAAATCCAGCCGAGAGCAATTCAATTCCATCTCGCAGAATCGCTCTTGGGTCCGTCTTCCGTCGCGCGGTTCGCAACAATCTTGCCGCGCATTCATCCCGTTTATTTGCGCCACGAGAGAGAGAGAGAGAGAGAGAATATAAATAAAAAAAGCCACCCACACACAGTGAACGTCGTTCGACGAAGGCCGTCGTGCGAACATCGTTGTGTTCGATAGCTCGATTAACGAATGCTCGCGCAACGATTATGGGTTCCAAGGTTATCGGAATTAATCGGGAACGAGAGCGGGAGAAGAGAAAACTGGAGGCTTAAATTTGGAGCGAGGGCAAACCTCGTAGGGATATTTAGGGCTTCCCGCTCGTCCCGCGCGCGCGCTTGATTGCACGTTGCGTTAAGGTTCATGTCAAATCGCCGCTCCGCCGAGCCGTGAAATATCGCCGGCGCGTGTTTAGCCGGCGTGGATCGCCGAAAGTGGCCAGTCTCGGTTGGCCCGGTCTCTCCTTCTTCTCGTCGTGTAATTAAAGCTGTCAAACCACTTGTGCCCGCGAGTCGTAATCGTCGTGATCGGCCCTTCCGTTTCTACGCCGCTCGGTCGAATGCTAATCGGACTCGCCTTACACGTGTATGCAAATCTGTCCGATGACAACAATCCCGAAGAGATCGCGATTATCGAGAGCCGCGACGGTGACGCGATTCGGGAAAAAAAGTGCGGGCGCGTCCTCGTCCGGCCTCGTCCGAGCCGGTGAAATGTAGTTTTCGTTGTGATTCAATCGCTGTCTTGTTTCGGACTTTTATCCGTCGACGTCTGTTTATCTCCTATTTATCTGCTCACGATAAGCGCAACAGATACATAATGTACGGTTGTTACGGGGAGAGATTGACTTTCCCGCGATGCCGAGCACGTGCTCCCACCGTTAATTAATTACCGTCGGCCGTGCTTCGTTGATTGTTTACTCGACAGCTCATTTTCAAGTCCGACGTCACGCGATATCGGTCTGTGAATGGGCGAGCGACGAAGGAGACACCGGCGCTGACGACGCACATTTTTTTTTTTTTGTTTCGACAAGCTGACAAGTGTGAAGGACTTAATGACCGACATCTGTTGCGTTACGTGAAAGAGTAAACAGCAATGAAATCGGATTATGTTCTCGGGCGGATTTGTTTCTGAGAAACGCTTGTCTCTCTCTGCCTTTTTCGCTCGCTTTGTTCCCGGTGTGTTACGTAAAAACGCGGCGGCCGATTACGATCATAGGCCGTGTTAAAAATAAAAATACTGACAGAAAAGGGTGATAAGTCTGCGCGGGTTGAAGCGAACCGGCGATGTCAATCTTATTGATGTGAAACGTCAAACATATGTTCTCTGTTGCAGACGGAACGACGAAGTGACCGTTCCCGGCGATCGACGTGGTGTTACCCTGCGACGTCCGACCACATCCATCATTACCATCCCGAGCTTCTCACTATTCCCGGGACTAGCTGAAATTCTCGCTCCTTGTGTCATACACGAGACTCGAGTAGAAAAAGTACGAAGGAAGGAAAGGGGGAGAGACGCGCGAAGAAGAAGAGGAGAAGCGCAGGTGGCGGGCAAAGCGGTCGAGGTGTTCAATGGGAAGAGGCTCGCTTTCGCAGCGAGGGCCGTAATCGAAACGGGGAATCGCCAACACACAGCGCGAATCATCACGATCGAGTGGACAAACCGCCGGCAAACAATAGGGAACCTGCTGGCGGCTTCCGATGGGGTCGTAGCCGTATTCGTATAACGCGATGATAGGCTAGCCGCGGCAGGAAGAGATCGTAGTTGGGGGATCGCCATAGCTAATCGTACCACCCAAGGTGGCACAGATTGAGAGCCCCATCAGCATACATCCTCTCTCTCCTGGCTAACGAGATACCCAGCGTCCATCCAGTTCGCGCGCGTCGTTACACGTCGCTCGCACCGTGTCAACCTTCGCCGATCCTGCATCCGCGAAACACCATCATCCTCCGACGCTCTTCCCCTGTCAGGACGCTTCCGGCTGACTGCGAGTGTAAACGACTGACCAGCGACTCGCACTGGAAGACACACAGGCAGGGAAGTCGTGATGGAAGTAGCGAGCGAGCTGTGAGTACGATTCTTCTTCTTCTCATATGGAATCTCTCTGTTAATTTATTCCGAGCTCTCCGGTCAGAGTACGACTGTTGAAAGATGTGCTCATTGTTCCGCAGGGAAAAATCTGGAGTGCAAGCGAGTTTCCCCATTGTCCGACGGCCCGGGTGAAATCTCGCTTGTAGGAACAGAAAGATTCCTCACAGGCGGGAGATCTCACAGTCGATCGCTCCCAATCGTGTAAACCGAGTTTCATCCGGTTTTCTCTGTTTACTCGAAGGGAACTGAGATCTTTTCCATGGGGTTCTTCCGTGATTTTCTTTCTATTCTAATTCGTTGTCGCCTGGGAAGCGAAACGACGACTCGATTGCACGGAATGATTCCCGCGGGAGAATTGAACACTCGGTCAATTTCTCCCAGTTATCTGAAATTTTCACGCAGCTGAATGCGCTGAGCCTCCGACGGAGATATCATTTCTGGCCACCCAGTTTTCATCCGGTTCCCCAGCAAGAATTGAAACCTTGCAAAAAACGGAGCGATCTCGTTTCACTGCCGCTGATGCCACTTGTTCTGAACATTTTTCATTACATTTTGCTGTATTGCATTATTTGCTTACGAGTTATCAGCAGACTGCTGATAAGCGAAAGTTCGACATATGTATCGTCGTCGACCTTCGCCCTCTTGCGTACAACGAATCCGCCGATTATCTCCGGTTATTTCCGGTTAAGTTGACGCATGTGATTCCCGAGATCCTCGCGATCTGCACGAATCGCCGAAATGCGCCGCGCAGTATATTCCTCCGCTCGCAGAAAAGCATCCTCGTCGGTATTTTCGCGCGACACTCGTGATGTAAGCGACACGATGCGTCTCTCTCTCACGCAGCTGTACGCACCTTCGGACTTTTAATAGCGCCCATAATTACCGTACACGTCTTCGCAGCACGTGCCTTTCGCACACGGCAGCCTGCCCGGTGTAAAACGCTCATCTACACCGGCACGTTAGGTGTCGCGTGTCGCTCTTTACCGCCGACTGAAATGGATTTCAATCGTGTTAACTACGACTATACGCGCCGCCAGAGACGCGGTCGCTCGTTCCTTACCGAGCGGCGGGGCACGTCGCGTTGTTATCGAATTGCGAATGAGCAGCCTATGATTTATTGGCGCTGGAACTTAATGATGTATTCGTTTGTACGTTAGCACCGCACGAACGTCGAACAATCGACGAGAGGAAGCCGTAATTCGCGTCCCACCCGATGCGCTTGAACTTGTCAGGACCGTCGAGTCGAAATCTCGGCTTTGAAATCAAACCCTTGTTTCTCTGATCCACAAAAATTCGACGAAGCTTGAATTCTGCAGTAATACAGTAGGAGCTGAGATAGCAAAATAGGTTCGATTCTAATGATATGATTTATTCTTATGTATATATTTTGAGTCCGTCTTGTGAAATTTAGATTTAGCTTAAAGTGAAACTGAAATTTAAACTTGAATTTCCATTTCCTGCCTTCAAAATAGGTTGTTCCGAATACTCGTACGGATTTAACAATCGAAATACCGAGAGCATTTATAGCTTTGGGATAGGGTTGAAATTCAATCTGTAGGAATCTGAAGATTCGAGAGAGAAGTTGGCAAAAATCAGCATCGTCAAAACAAGGTTTTTTATCAGATCATCCGAGTAGGCGCGAATTATACTTAAGAACATCGAAGTAGCAACGAGATGTCGACCGGGTCTCGTGCGGGTCTCGTGACGGTGGAAAATATCGCGAGAATTAGCATAAAATCAGCATTAGAAAGAACTTGAAGATAACGCTCTCATATTACGCTACATCGTGAAATGCGTCGTTCAGTGCCGCGTGTAGTGAAATGTCGGTAATTCGTTCCGCGAGACATTAATGCGAACGTGACGTATTTTACGCACCGCGCTGCAATTAAATCGGTGTCGATGTCATCGTCGGGAAAAAGATCGCGTATTTAAACGGCGCGCCGTGAATGGAAGTCGCGAGTCACCCTGTACATCCGCGGTTGATCCGCGCGGTTATATGCCGCATTCAACGGCGCAGCGAGATTCATTGGCACAGAATTCCATAATGGTAACGGCGGTGCTTGCCTGCTCATTAAATCATTGTTGGACTCGTTCTTTGTGATAAGGAACGGAGGGAGACGACGGTCGCGCGCACTGCATAAGAATTCATCGCCAATTGTAATTAGTTTGCGCGTGTAGATGCGCAGCTCTGCGGATCGGCTGTTCCGTGCAAAATTTCAATCGAGAAGGCATTTCTTGGGATTTAATGAAATTTCTTTAACAGAAACAAATTTGGATCTCTTGGAATAGGATAAACGAATGTGTGATTCAACAAATAGGATTGTTTGGTTTCTCAAACAATAAATATCTTTGCTCCAATAACATGTTCCGTTTGTACTTTTATCCAAATATTGCAATGGCTGTCGCGAATAAGAAATTATTTGAAAGAAATAATAATATGTTAAAAAAGTATTAAATACCTCCTTTTCTTTAGTAGAATAATATTTAATATATAACGGAACACATTTTTTATTGAAAATGAAATATTATATTCTTTAAATAATATTACTTTCCGTATCGAGTAACATTGTTTATTCCGTGAAGGAAAAATGTTACTTTAATTTTAGATTTTATTACATCGACCCCTATGTCGCGAGAATTGTAAAGAATCAGGTCAAAACATGTTACTTTGTACTGTTTACGAAATCTATGTTCTGCAATACTTAATAAAGCGCAACTCGCGCGTTTGGCAATGTATCGAGCAGTCGTAAAACAAGGCTAAGACTTGTTAATTAAAGTTAATCGTCACTCGAATTTGTTTAAACATCATTCCAACTACAACGGGGAAGGTTTCGATTTCCTTCGAGATCGATTTTCGATCAAAAATCCAGGTTTCGTTTCGTCGAGGGGGGCGTGCAAATAAATTTCGAAGCAACTACTTTACGATTCGCATAGTTTTTTCTGCTTCGCTTATTAAAAAGGGAAGCAAAATCGCCACCGGATGAAAAGGAGGCGTACTTGAGACGCGGCGAGGATACGCCAATGAAGCGTGTTATCGTGGATGCAGAAGTGTGTGTCACGACGATTGCGCGTATTTATCCTTTACTGGATGCGCTGATAAAAAATACACGACTCGCCTCTGTCGTTCGAAGCGCCGCAACTGCAAATTTATCTTTTATCTCATGCGATCGACGCAGTCGATGGGATTTGATTAGGCGGAGTCGCGCGTCTCCACGCATTTTCGCATCACGTGTGCCATCTCGAATCGCAGAATCACTTGCTCCTAATGAGCGTATATTTTCGCGGACGTACCGTCGTGTAATAACAGTTGCGTGAATCCGCATGCCAGATCGTCGATAATCTAATGCCCGACGCCGCGAAATCAATGGAGGGTGGATTCCATTTTCCTTCGATATCCCCCGAATCGACATTTTGATGCTGCACGGAAAAAAATAATGTTGCAACTATGCTGTTGTTACTGCATATTTATTGCGACAGCGATAAAATTTCGTTGGCGTAACCAAATTAACGAATTATTCGTGATTAGAGCAGAAACAGAATTGTTGCCGGGATAGAAAATATTCTGCTGAGTGAATTTGTCCTTAGGATACGTTAATTTGCTGTTAGAACAAAATACCGTTGTCCTACATTTACTGATCTGTACTTACAGCAAGATAATTTGTAGATTCTGCAAAATAATCCAGCGAATGGCAATTAGTACCATTAACAAATCGTTTGGCTGTCTACACAATAACAGATTTAATTCTAATGTTATCTTGAACGATCTATTTTGACGCTAAAACAGCGAAAATATCAGGCATCGTCGGGGTCAAAGTAGGAATAAATCCAAATCGTATTACATATAATAATATATATCACAATATAATATCACGTATTATTAGAATTGAAATCGTACGTATTTCGCTACCTTAACCCGTAACATTAGGCCGAAATTCCACCTCGGGCCCACTGTTGTTTTTCGCGAGAATCTTGTGTCTTCCGGATCGCTCGTGCGTGCCTAATAATGTATAATGCGCGCACGTAACATACGCGTGAAACCGGTTATTCAAGCTCGCATGCTAATTATTCAAATCCAGAAAGATACAGGCAGAAATGGACAAGTGAACTGCGCGCGAGCGCAGGTATCGAGCGGCATGGCAGTGCCGTGACGCCAAGTGTACAAATAAAATGACATAATTAATGACAGGTCGAATGTATGACTATGATGAAAACGTCGTGGTACTGTCAGCAGCTTATCTGTAGTTCTCACACCGTCGACTTTTTAATCGAAGTCTCTCGGATCTGCGACGATCGGAAGTCAAACGCATGTTTTCGAACGTGAAATCAATTTCTTGGCAGTTAAGGGCTATCGAGTAGTCGCAATCGCGACGTTAAACCTCGAGGTAAATATTTACGAAACGATAAATCTTTATTATCCCTCCCCCCTCTCTACGCGAATAAATTATTGAGACGTCTCGAATATGACGCCCGCCCTGACGTTGCCTTTCGAAATATTCCGAGGAGAGAGAGAGAGAGCATCGTAAATTTTGCATTAGCCTCAAGTGCAAATACTTACATAAGTGTGTTCAACAACTTGTTTGCCGAGGAGATCATTTTGGAACTATCAAGTATCTACCGAGCTAACGTGGCATTGAGCGTTTACTGCGATATCGTTTGTTACTGTTATCTTCCACCACGATACATACCAACTTTATCAATATTCAACGCATCCGCTTGCTCATTGCACATGCACCGCTCCGCCGACTCTGACCGACTTTTATTCCGAGGAAATGAAAAATTCGGCCAACGATGCGCGCGACACGGTGTCATTATTTCTATTTCGAATGAAATTCCCCTCAGAGCGGCGACCTCCTTCGGTGAATTGCGGCCGCTCCCGCGGCGTTTCGCAAACGCGCTATGCTTCGACGAGACGCTTCCCGTTTTATTTTTCCGCTCCATTAAGTGCCCGGGAACCGTAAAATTTTTATTTCCGATGCGGACGTCATCTCTCTCGTTGAAACGAAAAGGCTCCAATTGGCCGTTATTCGAGACGATCGCGTTGCCGCTGCAAGGTGATACCTTTTAACTCAGCGCGGCGTTCGGCGCAACTCCATTAAACGAACCGTAATGTAAAACCGCGAGAAAAAAGAAAAAGAGAGTCTCTCCGGATACGCGCGGATATTCCGCCGTCCAAGTCCGACATTAATTCTCAAGGACGATGTTTTCCCAGCCGGCCAACGGTCGCGGCCGTTTGTTAGCTGGATTGTTTCCCAACGATCGTCGCACATCTCTCTTTTCCTCTCCTTTCTCTCTCTCTCTCTGTCTCCGCCTAAATACCGCGCTGCAAAACGCCTAGTTTTATCACGCTATCGGCGAATGAAATGGTGCAATTAAAATCATCTTACCCGTCACCATCATCATCGTCGTTATCATCGGCGCAGTCGTTCGTCGTTCGTTTACCTCGACACATCCGTTGCGTCAACAATGCAATCGCTCGCGACTCTGAATTCGCATCTCTGCGCGCGCTTCGAGCGCGGAATTTCGCCAACGTAAAAATTCATTTCGTCGTTTGCCACGCAACGGTATCTCATACAAACGCTTTTTTCGGTTGGATGATAAGATAAAGATACAGGCCGCCGATCGAGATGTGGAACGCGGTCCGGTCTCGCGCGACGTCGGCGCAAGTTCAGGCGGAACTTCGCCGGGAGACGGAAATAATTGAACCAACCGCGAAACTAACCGTGACGAACGCCCACGCGCCAACTGGGAGTTCGTTGTGTCCCCCCGCGAGACAAGTTGCCTCTCATCGTCGGCTCGGGGATCTACCAGTGTGTAGGTGGCCCTACATTTTCGAAAACTGAAGAAAAATCGATGACTTTTTCCTTTCACCCGTAGAGTTTTAGGAGCAGTTCGGATATTTAAGCCCCCCTTACAAAAATATTTCGCTATTTTTACTCCTTATTTGACCAGTTTTTCATTAACGAAGGAATATGGCGAACACACGCGGGTATACATGAATATTTTTTGAAGAGATTGTCCATCTTCAATGCTCATTTTTTAACCGATGAGTGAGAACACGTTAATATGTTCTTCTTTTATTCAGTTTCATTTCAATGCGTGAAAAAGTCGTGCGTTTACTCATGCTAAAATTGAGGTCATACTCAGCTGAATGCCCGCTTTTACCACTCAAACCAACAGTTTTTGCGGGTAAAAAGCGGCAAAATATTTTTGTAAGAGCCGACAATAACATGTCAGACCTACGAGGTTTGCACACGTTTTCTTTCGCTCGCCCCTTCTTTCTATTGCACTTTTATGCGGTACTCTGCGCCCCACTCCTATTTCTCTATCAGCAAGAAAGAAAAAGTTGGGTCCGTATGACTACCGTTATTATCAACCCGATCGAATGAAATAACTGGTTTCTTGGCGACAACTTTCACTAGTCTCTACACAAGACGATAAATCCAAATTGACGATAAACTTGATAATTCATAAATAATTCGATAAAAAGACGGGAAAAAAACGCAAAAATATCACGATTTAACAGATGTTCTCGTGATACCGAAGAACTAAGAGACCTTTGGTGTTATTTCGGCGACAAGATCGGGGATGTCTCAGGATTAAAGAGTCTTCGTTGAGAGTCTGGCAATCATCACCGCCCCTCATCGTCATTAATACGAATCGCGGGATGGGTCATTCGATAGACGCGTAACGCAGTGGAAGCGGCCCAACAGAATGCATGACGCGTGTTCTGCTCGCGTGCACGTGTCTCGTGTTCGCGAAATCTTCCGTGGAACGTCGCGAGAGCTTGGGGGAGATACTTGGCAGCGAACGGTGGAACGGTCAACGTAGTGTCCAACATTGCTACCTCCGCTTGTTCCGCATTTTCTTCGAGTCACACGGTAATTCGATATCTCCTCGGGCGTGTGCCCCCTTTGAAATCGAGTCGAGATTTCGCCGTTCGCCTGATATACGTGAGGACACGAAATTGATCGCCTCGGTGGCGACGGAAGAAAGTGTCGGAAGAAAAAGAAAGACGGACGGCAAGTCCGTGAGAGAAAGAGAAACGATTAGATACAAAATTAAGCCACATCTCCCGGCGTCGTCGATGATGCAAGCGCGGCTGAGATCTTCACGCGAGTGGATATCCGTGACCTCTTTTCTTCCAGCGACCGCGCGTTGGCTTCCACGCCTGGTCAAGGTGTGCCCCGGTGCTACTTGTAAAAGGATATCTGTACCGTGCGTCGGTGACATTTCGTCACGGGTTTGACACCTACACGTTCGAGGCTAGCTGACACCTCATTCCTCTCGCATCTTAACGACCGCTTTCCTTCACGTCACAGATCGCGCGCTCTTCCGTTCGCCGTCTTTTACACGCTTTACGACCCCGTGCGCTCGGACACGTGCGACGAATCTCGCGCTTATACACGTTCCGTGCCAGACTAATTTTATACGACTTCTCTCGTAGACCGGTGGTCCACGCGCGTTTTCCTGTCATGAGCCCAATTTCGTTTGTCAGATAACACGCATGTGTCTGACGATAACGATCGAATCAGCATTTCGTGATTGTACTTCGTTTTGGAGCCGAGATGTCAAACTGGACGAACCGAACGAGATCTGGCCCGAACGGAAAGTTCAATGTGTACCACCTGTGGTGCACACGGCATTATTGCTGCAATATTGCAGCAATGTTGGCAATGTTGCTGCAAGCTTCTGTGTGAGGATAAAAGGGAGAACAAGGAACGGAGAATTAAACGTAGGTAATTGGGAACAGAGAATTACATTTCGACATATGGACGTTTCAATCCACAATAATGGAATAGGGCTATTGGGGACACTGTCGAAATCCTAATCTTTATAACTCGTGTGCTTACTATGTCTAGAAATTGGCTGATAATTAATCTTCAAAATGTTTAATGATCATCAACATACAAATGAAAATCAATTTGTGTCAATCTACAATTATCACGAAAATAATAAAAGTGTTGATGATCTTAGAGAGATTCATTATGGAAAAAAAAAATAATCTCTTCTTAAAATATTGTTATATTTTAATCTCAATTACTTTATTCTCTATTTATTTTATTATATATTAACTATATAACTATATATTTTATTTCTAATATCTTGTTCCTAATTCCTCATATTCGATTCTTTATTCCTCATTCCGTTCATTGAAATAACATCATGGGTCTCTCAGGCCTACGTCACGAAAAAAATTGTAAAAATCGTGGTTTTCTTTTTGCATTTTTATGATCTTTTATGAATTGCTGAGTTTATTACCAATTTTTATTTACTTTGTAGACTGGTTGCCGTCAGGAAACCAGTTATCTCATTGGATCAGACTGGATCAAATTAATAGCAGTGGTCACGTGGACTCAACTTTTCCTGTTTGAGAAATAGGAGAATGGAAGTATATCTAGTATTTTTAGCATAAAACATGGAAGAGATGATAAGCGAAGGATAACGCGTGTAGGTCTATCAGGGTTAAAGCGCATCGCTTCGATTCGAAGTCGGGTAGAAGCGAGCTAACAACAATCGTCGTGCTGCGCGCGACGTGCTCGCGGACACGTATATTTATTTATATCACGTGGACCACGCTGATGAATATAGGAAGGTAACCCACGCGTAATCATCTATTAATAATCGGAGACACTTCCGACGTTCTAGTTCAGATATCTCGCGAGTTCTCGGAGAGAGCGAGCGGTCACGACGCGAACTTCCGAAGCCCTTGGAAACCGTCCGTGGAGTTTCCTCTTATCAGCGTCTTTTACTCTCTCATTCTTTTCTCTCTCTCTCGATGCGAAACAAAGACGCGCGAATGAAAGCACCGGCTTCCAGCCGGCGAAAAAATGCTAGCGCGAAAACATCGTATACTTTAGGGCAATAATAAATCAATTTATCTCTGCGAGCGCGCATTCCAGCGATTTTTGTCCAGCGAAAAGAAGCACCGGCAACTCAATGTTATCGGATTAAGTGACACGAGCGCGACACTAAAGCGCATTATCCGCACGATCCGCTTAATTCCGTAATAACCATAAACTCGTATCAGCAACAACGATACGATTCTCGTAATTGGCTCGAAGAACAAGAATGCACGCGCGCGCGCACACACATATAAACATCGCGGTGTTCGCCAATGAAAAGATCGACAACTCGTTATCTCGCGGTGTTAATAGGGTTCGTTCATGGCGATTTACCGCCAGTTCCTCCTCCGTGTCTCGTCAAGTGTGTCCCGCGTAGGTGCTATCGATACTACCGTCGCATCCTCGGACAAAGCGATTCCGATTGTCGTGCGATTTTACGGTACTTCCCCGTGCGCGGTGCTTCTCGCAATTACTCCCCGGTTTTCTCGTGGATACCGATTGCGCAGCGTGCGCGGGCTCTTCGCAGAAGCAGAGGCTTGTCGGAAAATAGTCGATGGCTTGAAACAGTTCCCGGCCGAACGCGGAAGAGACCGGTAATCGCGGTTTTCGCGAGGCGCATTGTGAGAAGCTCGCGATATTAAAGAAGAAGCGCGTTCTCCCGGACGAGGGATCATCGTGCGAGCCGGGGGGCCGCAACCGACGTGCGAATTGACCGTTAATGGTTACGCACACAGTGGGGACCACGGGGTGTTAATTGCCGAAGTCAATTGCGCCCGACTGTTCGGAATAGACGCACACGCGTGGCGAAATCTCCTCCCGCCGGTGTGTGACGCTCGGCGATGCGAAGTTAACTAATTTCCCGATTCGAGATAAAAATATACGCGCTCGTGTGTGGATTACACATGCGAATGACAAAATAGAAGCCCTGTCGTCCGCGTAATTCTTCCCCGAGTTGCGCAAGTACGATGGCCGATGCTGACGGAACGGGGTAAGCGGAAACTTTTCAACAGACCCTCAATATTCTATTTTCTTGAGAAATCGCCGACTTACGCAACAGCTAAACATAGAATTAGCATATATAAAGATTACACACTAGCGCATTTCGGCGCGCATCAGTGAGAAACCGTTAAAATCGTATCTCTTCAAGTCGGCGCGTTATCAGCGAGTCATCGATTAAAACACAAATTAAACGCCCGAAGCCGACTTTCAGGGAGTCTCAGGATAGAGCTCGTAATAAAAACGTCGTTGAATCTAACAGGGAGGAGGGGGGAGGGGGTATTCCGCGGAAGTCGCACGGAAAAATGTCAGTTTCCGCATGGAGAAAAATAATTCGACGACGCGGCGAATTTTGTCGGCCGCTGTCACACGAAAATCTATCGGTTATTTCTATGGACGGTAAAACGATTTGTCGGGGACGATACGAATTATTTTGTTACAAAAACAAATGAGCAAACATGAGAAAACACTTATCCGCCCTAACAGCGAAGAAACCTCTCCTAAGGACAAATTCACTCGGCAGAACATCTTTCTGCTCCCTCGCAATCCAGTGTTCGTCCGGTCCCCGGGCGAGGGGAAATTCAGTTACACTAACTTGAATCGTTTGTTCCGCGGTGGCAATGAAGCTACAGGAACCGATTTGTTATTCTACTAATGCTCTACGTAAGAATGAAGAGCGAAGTACCGAAGTTATCGGCGTGTTTCAGGTCGCCGTTATCGGGCGCGGAGAATCAGGGGAGGATCAAAGAGAGCAGCACGTATTATCCGCAGGAGCCCGGCAAGAGGCCGAAAACGGCGAGGCAGAAGGTGAAGTCCTGCCTGAGACACAACGCGCTCACGATACTCACTGTCTGCGGCGTGGTCGGCGGCGTGGTACTCGGCATTATCCTGCGGAACTCGCGGGAGGAGAAATGGACGCCGCGGGAGATCATGTATATCAATTATCTCGGCGACCTGTTCCTGAGGATGCTCAAGAGCTTGATCCTACCGTTGATCATTTCGAGCTTGGTGTCGGCGATTGGCTCGCTCGACCTGTCGCTCAGCGGCAAGATCGGCGCGCGCGCAATCGGCTATTACATGGTTACGACCATCTGCGCGGTCATACTAGGTCAGTGAAGGCCTGATTTCTGTGTCACTGCCTCATGTATATATGCCTTACCATTCCCTAGATCGCGAGTTACATTTCAGCCTTACACATGCGTCACGAGCAACGATTCGTCGCACGCTAAATCTATTGGAGCGAGTCCAAAACAGCTTCGTCTGTTCTGTTGTAACCTGTTTTCACTGGAAGAATATGTATTCTCGCAATCACCGTATCGGACCGTTGAAAATTGGAATTTGACCAACCGAGATAACAGCCAAGATCGAGGCTGCTTGTTTCGTCCAATTCTAATTCGCAATCTCTAATGCCAACCTGATACGGGACTTATCATCCCGGATGATTCTTTTAACCCTGACGATAATGTGTTAGCCGTTTTCTCTCGCTTAATACGTTTCTTCCACGTTTTTATGAAAGACGCTTACCTCACTTTTATTCTTCTGTTTGAAAACAAAAAGTTGGATTCATTGCTATTATCAGCCTGATCCAATAAGATAATTGGTTTCCTGGCGGAAATCAGTCTACAATAAATAAAAATCGGTAATAAACTCGGCTCATAAAAGATATTTCACAAAAGATAAAAGGAAAAATGCAAAGACCACGAATTTTACCAAATTCTTTCGTGACGCAGGCTCGAGAGCTCTATGACGTTGCTTCAGCGTCAAGATCGCGGGTGCTATTCTCAGAGTTAAATAGAAATAGGATAAGCATGATTTGGACTTGCTCCAGTAGATCTAATGGGGGACCAATTGTTGTCCACGGAGGTGTACATAAGGTCGAAAACATTGCATACGTAGCTCGAGTTACAATGGTAAAGCATAAGGCGGTGTGTACATCGGTACTTTCTCTCTCTTTCTCTTCCTTTCTCCACGTTTCTGATGCGATTACTTCACGTCGGGCGCGAATATGCAGTCTGATCTCAGATGTAATTAACGCGGAGAAACGCGTTGGGGAGCACAAATAGAACGTCGGCCGTGTCTCTGTAGACAGTGCGTGTCTTTTCGCGAGTTGGGTGCTCGAAGTGGCTCCGAACTGTGAAGATCGCATGCCGGGGTTAAACGATTGGCCCGCATCAACCAGGACGCGACGTCCCCTCGCGATCAAAGGGTCTCCCCCGGCGTCCTGTTTCTCGGCGTCGCTGTCGCAACGCGCCGCAATATCGCCGTTTCTCGGAAATCGCGAGCACGACGACGAGCGGCAAATGGACGGCACTGTCCCTCGCATTTACATATCTGGTTGCAGGAGTGCGCACGATAGCTCTGAATTCGTGACTCATCTCGGTTAATTAACGACGAGAGCAACCAAGAGAAAATCGAGCGCGCAACAACTGGCAGATTACGGCATTATCTCCAAGTCTGGGCGACTTTTTTTTTCTTTTCTCTCTCTCTACCCTAGCGTCGCGGACAGATACGACGTTTTATTACCGTTGCCTTGTAGATTATAGGCCGGTTTTAACCGAAAGCGTTGTTTGCGCAACGTACTTTCGACTTTTCCTCTCGCGTCGATTCCTCTTGCGACATCGCGCATATATTTCCCTGCTCGTCGTCCTGTCGTCCTACTTATCCCGATTTTTCACTCGCAATTTTTGATCACGCTTCTCGTCAACCGGTTGCTCCCGCGCGACTGATACGAAGCGGATGTAAAATTAATGCGAAATATCGGACGCGACGCGCCTAACATCGCGCCCAGTGTTATTCGCTTCTCCATGATGACGGGTTGGGAAACTGATTGCAGGTATAATTCTCGTGGTTTCCATTCAACCCGGAGTCGGCAGCTCCGCCAGGGAAAGCACAAGACCGGCGCAGAATGTCTCCACAGTCGACACCCTGATGGACTTGGTGAGAAATATGTTTCCGCCGAATCTTGTCCTTGCCTGCATCTCCCAGCACCGCACCGAGCCCAAGCCACCGGAGAACGAATCACGTAAGTGACTCAGGCATCCTTGCCCAGGTCGAAATGTTGGCCCTACGTTATATCTTTAATTCTACAATACAGTGAGGGGAAGAACTAAGACAGCTAAACAGGTTCATACAATTTCAATTCTAGTAATATAATTTACCCCTACTCTGATGATGTCCTAAATTCTCGTTTTCGCTGCAAGCCATCTAAGTGCGCATAAACCACCCCCTGATATCCTTAAAACTAAGGGCAATGACGCGCGGAAAAACGTCAGAAGTAAAAGTTGAGCGGTAAAAAAATTGACCAGTCACAGTCGATTATTCGTCGACCGTAAGGAGAATAGTGACTGGTCAATTTTCTTACGTTCTCGCGTGTGCCGGTCAGCTCGAGATAATCTTCAGAACGAACAACGATTGTGCGTGTGAATTCGCCGTTAATCCGTGGAATCATTTGACCCGGCAGTTCCTATGGAGGAATGGGAGCTGGTGCAGAAAGAGGTGTCCGGCACCAACATCCTCGGACTCGTGGTGTTCGCGACGGTGTTGGGCATCACCCTCGGTAAGATGGGTCCGCAGGCCAAGCCGCTGCTGGGCTTTTTCGAGTCGCTGTCCGGCGCGATGATGTTGATCACCAACTGGGTCATATGGTAAGACTCGAAGGAGGAGTTCCTTGGGATACTCGCGTATTATCTGGGCAACGTCGTTGCGTAACATCGTGTTGCGCAGCTGTCGTGATTTCTCTCTACGATGAAAAGCTTCGGACAACTTACGCACGTATGTGGACGCAGGTTGTCGCCGATCGGTGTCCTCTTCCTGGTCGCCTCCAAGATCACGGAGATGAAGTCGCTGGAAGAAGTAGTCTCTCAGCTCGGCATGTACTTCCTCACCGTGTTGATCGCCCTGAGCATACACGGGCTGCTGGTGCTGCCGGGGATGTACTTCCTTCTCACGAAGAAGAACCCCTACCGCTACATATCCAACATGGCCGAGGCGCTCGTCACCGCGTTCGGCACGTCCTCGAGCTCGGCGACCTTGCCGATCGCCATCAGCTGCCTCGAGGGGCCCAACGGCATCGATTCGCGCGTCAGCAGATTCGTCATGCCGATCGGCGCTACCGTAAACATGGACGGTACCGCTTTGTACGAGGCTATAGCCGCTATTTTTATAGCCCAAGTGCGCAAAGTTAGTCTATCCTTCGGCCAGTTGATCGCGATTAGGTGAGTGAGTGCGCGAGCCTCGCTGCTTATTTCGATTTCGTTCAACGAACGGTTCTCACGAAGAGAGCTCCATCGTGGTAAGATGACGGCCCGAATCTTTTCTTACGCATTTGCTTAACTTGTTCCAGTATCACAGCAACTGCCGCCAGCATCGGCGCGGCTGGAATTCCCCAAGCCGGGTTGGTGACGATGGTGATGGTGCTGGACACGGTTCGCCTCCCGGCCAACGACGTCTTCTTAATTATCGCGGTCGACTGGCTGCTGTGAGTACAGCGCGCTCACCTCGCGATTGCGTTATCGAGCTTTCGTTCGCCGCCGACACTCACTCTCTCTCCGTCTTTCAGAGATCGTTTTCGAACAACGGTGAACGTGATCGGCGACTCGCTCGGCGCGGGAATCGTCAATCATCTTAGCAGGAATGAGCTCACGATGCTTCCGCACCATCCGCAGACGCAAAACGGAGCCGATCGTCACGCGACCACGTCGATATGAGAGCGGTAATCGCGTCTCCCCGACTGACGATTACGATGTTGCTTCGCGATCGGAAGATCGACACACCTCGCGCGGCTGATCGCCCGCCGAGAGTCCGCTTTCGAGAATATTCATACGACGCGAACAAGTTGAAATTCACGGAACAACGTTAATCCCAGTTCCCGCGACTGTACAGGGAACCAGATGAAAACTCGCTGACAAGAAATGATATCTGTGTGTGTTATCGCGACTGGGAACATCCGTGTGGACATTCGGCCGCATTAAAATTCGGGACTGTCTGGATAGAAAAAGGAACCTCCTGCAACCGTGAATTTCATCTGCTTCTCAGGCAAACTCCACCAACGGCAGCTACACCAACGGAATTGTTTTTATTCTTTTATTACTTTTGTATTATTAGGCGGATATTACTTTTTCGCTACATCTGACATGCAGTTTTCGCTACGTCTGATTTGTAATTTTCGCGTGTTTAGTTTGTAATTTCTTTCATTTCGAGCGATACAGTCGTGATATACGTGCGCATATTCTCGTTCGCGTAAAGCTGGGTGTACAGTAAACAAACGAATGAGGAATAAACGGCTAATGCAAATATTTGTTGTTATACCGAAAGAAAAAAAGTGCTACATTCAAAATGAAATATTTGTCAAGGAGCATTGGAGTGATTATTTTACTTCGATTAAGTAAATATTACTTGAATATAGCACACTGAAAGAAAAAAATGCTACATTCAAGTAAAAAATAATTACTTCAATACTCCTTAGAATATATTTACTAGAATGTAGCCTTCTTTCCTTCGTTGTTGCAATTTGGAAAATGTGTACGCCATGAGGAACAAAACGTTTCGTTAGCCGATTTGCTCATGCAGATGGTTTATCAAAGTAAGTTCGTGTGCGTTTGCACGCGAATATACACATTCATATTACACATTCGCTGTACGTTCGTTGTTTATTCAGTGTACATCCACTTTAACATAACGACGGTCGACGATCGCGAGGTACGAAGTACCAAGTCCTGTGACGAAGTGTTCTTGCGTACTCAGTAAGTGTTCCGTTTTTACCTTAGTCAAGTAACTCGGTTTTAGTATTAATTATCCCGTACAAAAGGAAAAGCAGACGACAAACGAAGGGAACAAATAAACTGCACCACCGTCTCTCAACGCCATTGTTATGCAAACGCACACACGCGGAATGCGAGGGGCGCGCAATCTTCTCCAATTGTCTCTACGCATGTACTGTAAGGAGGATTATTTTGGTAGTCACTTAACTGACATCCATTCCGCGATTACGTAATAATAGGGCAATCAGATATCAAGCATACAGCGCGCTTGCAGTGCGAGCGACTGTAGCGTCCTTCAAATAACTCCGACGCGATGAAAAGTGTGTTTGAAACTAAATAATTTGTAGCCTTAGTACTCATAGATCCCATTAAACGATCTTGCTTGTCAAATGTATAAGTATATATATCTGTATATATATATATACAGATTATATATATATATATATATATAAATAATGTATACATCTGTCTTCCATTCTTGCGCTTAATGAGAATTACGCTTGATGTCCAACATGTGTGTGTCGCACGTGTTACACTTCATTCGAGCCGCGAAATTTGAAGTCCGGTATTTCTCCGAGTGTGCATTAAAAAATTGCGAGGCTCGTAAGAAATTTCGACGGGAGAGGGGAGGGGAAGGGGACGAAGTATTCTAGCGGTGTTTTCAAAAACCGATTTTATCATTATTTGACACGACGAAAGGTCAAGAGAAGAAGGGGTGGGATCCCCGTTATTACTTTTCTACACAGGAAAGTAGAAACGAGCATGCGTAATTCTACTCGCGCGCTATTCCGTAGCGATTGGGAAACGTCGCAGTTTAGTGCCATAGAACGTTACTGTCGCAAGTTATCAAAGTAATGCTCGATACCGAACGGAAAACGCAGACTTAACTCATTTTTGTCAGTGCGTGCAATTAAAAACGATCGTCAAACGAAAGCAGTCAAGCGTCACATCGTACCGACGGATGTATTCCTCTGGCATCGGGAAAATTGCCGAACGAGATATTTTTTTTTTTTATCGAGAACATCCACATCCTGTCTTCTGTTTGCAAGAATTGTCGCGTACGATTCCGATGTCATTGACGACAATCAACCACGGTACTTAACCCTTAAGTATGAAGCAACACTGATCATCTTTCGTCCCTTCGTAAAGTTTTTAATAGACAAAACTGTACAGCTTTCTACATTTTATATAATCTTTTCACAATACGAAAGGAAGGTCCAATCAGTCAGAACGTATAAAACCAGAACGGCAAACTCTCTAGAAAATGCACATTCAAAGGCTGACGAAGAAAGATAAAATCCGTACTTAAGGGTTCAAATACCTTTCTAGCAGCAGAAAAGAAGAAACAACTTAACTGTGAAGCTATCATACGCGTAACATGTAAAAGAATGATGTGGAGAAAATAACAAAAAGATTAATAAACAAACTGCCTGACTTTATCGTGAAAACTGTGTCTGTCGCAAGATCCTTTTGTTATTTTTTACGCAGAATTTTTCTTAGGTTTTTTTTTATAAAGGAAAAAAAAGTGTCCTGGTAAACGTGTCATTGCTGTTTCTTGGTCGCGATTATCCAGTATGATTAACATGTTTGTATGAACGTACGTATACGCGTGCGTTTACACCTCAGCGGTGCGTAGATAGAAGCATCCAGGTATGCCGATAAAACGTGAAACTGAAAAGGAAGCCTCGTCTGTCGCCGTACGCGCCGATATAAGTGCGATATTTGGCAATCGTTTCGCTTGTCACGTGAATCTGTCCGCGTAATTCGGAATTGCGTGTATCTGTATATCGAATATAATGAATATACAAATTAATATATCTATACACGATGTATAAATATATATATATCGTGGAAATATATGCAAACAGAAGCTGAACTGTGTGCATGTAATTAACGATATTTAGAGAATCTTCGTGCGTAATACACAGTAAACAGTTTGTTCTAAGTTTACATCTGTACACAAATACGAAGGCTGGATTTACAAGTGTAGAGCGAGCCTTCAATCTTTTGCTATAATCAATAAGATGTAATATTTTGCTGTGAAATCGAAGAAAATGTCATCAAATGAAAATTATTAAAAAATTACTAAGTATACTTCAAAATGAATCAAATTTTCCTTATGAAGGATTTAACATCATAATATGAAATTTAAGGGAAGTTAAATTATATTGTTGAAGAGTAATGACAAATTGTTGGAAATAGAATCACGAAGTTTGCGAAATTTAATTGAAAATTGAATTTTTACTGAATCATTGACAGAGTAATAACAAAACAGGGTCAATCGGGAGAGAATTTCAAATACATTTCGGTAAAATTTCATTATATACAATTCCGATAAAATATTTGCATCAGGGTTGCAACGTGTGGTAAAGCTTTTGCTAAAAATTATATTACAATTTTGCTTATAACGAAGGGCTAAAGACTTACCACATCTGTAGATTCGAATTGATGGATGCAAGTGAATTTAACAATAAACGTACGTACTTCGTAAATACTGCGTCTTCCCTCGACATGCGGAGATGCTAGGAGCACGAGCATTTCGTCAAGGTCGATCAAAGTCGATGTAACTCCGAGACAAGGTGAAGTTGCGAAGATACACGGCGAGCGAATCGGCACATCGAGCGGATTCTTAACTGCCCCCAGCGATTTGTCTGATCGTAATGGCGCGATCGCGTTCGTACAAGTTGTCGTCACGTCGATACCGAGATCGTCGATCGAAACGATTGCGCTGGCTACGTTCAGCGGAACGTTTATTCCGCAACGGTTGCAAGTGTTCCGAGAGATCGGGGTTACTCACTTAGATCTGGAGAAACGACTTAATCTCAGCTACGGAAAACTTCCCATAGTTGTAAAATAAACGTTCTGCTGTGAAGGCGGCCATCGAAACGCGTTTTGGAATCCGTTTCTTTCGCAGCGCGCTCACTTCCGGCGCGATCCTTCCTCGAAAGCGTACCAACTGTGCAATGGCGGTCCCCGAGTTGATTCTCTAGTCTCCAGATGTCTCTGGAGTGGCTGTAAACACAAACATACGTCGCATGGCTCTCGCAGCGTACCGGCTTTTAAATAACAACAATCAAGTCGTGAGCTGTGCTAAATGATAATATAAATAGTGGCGGTATTCGTGCTGTTGTATTAGACGTACGATGCGACAGTGACGCGTTTTCACTCAGCTCGACAAAAAGTGTACAATGAAGGTTAACCTAACCTAACCTAAAAATTATGTGACTTCGACGTTGCGTTTAACGACATGTCAATTTCTCACACGATTATTGAAACTTAATTATTTCTATGTTCTCAAATACGTTCGAAACGATCATGAGTCTTCCGTTCCGTCTTAGTTATCCGAGCATGAGTTACAAGATGTTTACGCGCTCCACGTTAATTTTATTCTTGACGAGCACCGCATTGCTCTTTCTATACTTGAATCGTATTCAGCCGCATTATTTCATCGACGAGGCTTTCCACATACCTCAAGTGCTGCGATACTGCGCGTGGAATTTTACCGAGGTAACATAGGATTTCGAAGAATTTCGGCCAGCTTCTAATCGCAGCTCGCGCTCCCCCGCGACAAAAATGAGTCGTCATTCATTTGCAGTGGGATCCCAAAATCACCACCTTGCCGGGATTATACCTTATTACCACTGCAATACTGTCGCCCTTTGGTCTTTGCAGTATCACCTGCGTACGATGTGTTAATTTAATTGGGACATACATAAACCTCTACCTTACTTACAACATCATAAAGGAGAATTGCGAATCCAATGAGGCAGATCGGTGGAGTAACTGGTTGATGCTCGCATCGGCTTACAATATTACGTTATTCCCACCGTTGTATTTCTGGAGCTTCTTTTATTACACAGACGTCGCTTCTGTGAACACGGTGCTTTTAATGTTGCTCCTGCACCGACGCAAACGCAGGAAGTTAAGCGCGTTCGCAGGTACGTACGTTTAACGTTGTACAAGTCATAACGTTCCGAGTTATCAGCTGTGGTGTAAAAAGTGACATCACACAGGTTTGACAGCCGTACTCGTTCGCCAAACGAACATCATATGGCTGGGCTTCCTCGCTGTGGAACACGCATTGGATATATTCGAGAGCAGGATGGAGCAGCCAGTGCCGCCTCGATCGCTCGCCACTCCCTTGCATTTTCGTGTAAGTAAAAGAACTGCGGTAAATCGCAACATACATTATATGTGCCGTGTCGGAGAACCTAATCTGCAACGTATTCGAATGATTTTCAGCTGATCTGGAAACAGATAGTATACGAGTTCCGCAAAGGCCCGCCGTCGTCCTTCGTCGGGTTTCTCCTGCAGGTATGCGGCAGTCTGCTTCCTTACATGACGGTGTGTCTGGTGTTCGTCGTTTTCGTCGCGTGGAACGAGGGCATAGTGATCGGTGACCGTTCCGCTCACGTAGCGACCGTTCATGTCTGCCAGATATTTTATTTTTCCGCTTTCGTCTCGCTGTTCTCGTGGCCGTACGCGGTGCGTCATCGGCGAGAGGTCCTGCGATTCCTACGCCGGCATTGGGCCTTCGCGAGCTGCGCGGCCGCGTTCGTGGCTGCAGCGATCCGCTTCAACACGCTCGTTCATCCGTACGTTTTGGCCGACAATCGGCATTACTGGTTCTACGTGTGGAACCGATTCTTAGGCCGTTACACGGCGTGCCGGTACCTGTTGGCGCCGGTTTACTGCGCGAGTCTGTTCGCCATGTCGCGAAACATCGGACACCGGAGGTTTCTCACGCAGATCAACTACGCGATCTGCGTGTGCGCGGTGCTGATACCGCAGCTGCTGGTGGAACCGCGTTACTTCATCCTGCCGTACATCTTCTATCGCTTGAACGTCGGGAAACCGCGCGAGTGGCAGGTCTACCTGGAATCGCTCACGACGTTGGCGGTCAATCTCGCGCAATTCCTCATTTTCGCCAACAAAGTATTCTACTGGGAGGATCAGCCCTATGCCCAGCGCATTTCCTGGTGATTCCCGACGCGGTGAAACGTGAGAAAAGGAATAAAAGAAGATTTAGTTTCAATCACGAGGTAACGTTCTTAGTTTCTTCTCTTTCCCAAATCTGTCTCCCCGGGAGAACATTTTTCATATGTTATTATTGTATATAATTGTATATAAGGCGTTATGTATAGAATATGTCCACGTATAAAAATATACAATTATATATGAAGTGGTAACGCAGTTATATATGATTATATATAAATTATATACGTATATATATATATTTATATGTAGTTGAAGTTTGGATCAATTTTCGAGAGAAAATTAAAAATTTATTCAAGTTAAACCGCCGTAAAAAAAAAACAGATGCGTAAAAAAAGGTAGAATTGTGCAAAATGTGTCAATATTAACATAAATAAACAGGGAAAAATAGGAAAGACCGCGCGCGCACGAACAATCGCACAAATTAAAATTTCCGCCGCTCCGGTGCGGCGTGTGCAAACAATTGACAGTACTTCACACTTCGCGGGACGATACACGTTAGAAAAAAAATAGTTTGAAAACGAGCCCGGAAGGTCTCCATAATCGACGCGCGTTCAACCACAAAAATGCAAATTTCTGCAGACGCTCTCGGCATTCTGTGCAAACAAAGGATAACATTTTTATTTTGCATGCACAGAGATAAAAATTTGTGCCGACGGCACAATTTTTCCTGGGTTTCTATTATATATTTTACGTTATCGACGAGTCAAGGGTTATCAAGTTATTCATAATCGACTGTTTTTTTGACGCACAATAATTTATTGTTCATGATTGAAACTTATGGCAAAACTGCTATTTGTCTTTGTACAGTAACAGCCTGTCATAATTTCGCAACGCGCGTCATCGTCGGCGCACAATATACATTAAACATATCCGACGACGACTTAAAACTGTTAAAATTCCCTATCTTTATCGTTCTTCCTCTCGTGTATAACTATTTCTCTTGCCGTTCCCTCGTTGAACATAACGACGATATTAGTAAAAGGTACCGAGATGTAATCTGCGAACATTCTCTCATTTATAGTAAACTTTGTCTTTATTCACATAGTAAAGAATTATGTACTCTTGCGCAAATCAGATCCGATACAAAATGTAATCTTAAAAGTAAATTTCGTACAAATGAAAAATAAGCGTCGCGCGCGCATCGGAATAATTTTGAGCCACCCCTCTTCGCGAATACACCGAACTGAAGGAGAAACAAATGCATTTTTTATCAATAGTGGAGAACAGTAAAGGAAATACGCGCCGTCACTGTCTTTTCGTTTCTTCGAAGAGTGGCTCCCAATTCTTTCGAATGTGTGCGCGTGTGGAACACGGACAAACTAAGAAACTAATTACCCTTTGGAAATCAAGACCAGTACGTACACTTTCCGGCTTATACACACATATATTATATATATATATATTGTACCACTCAGCCTCTCGATTGCCGGAACGTTGAGCATTATCCGCGACGAGTAGTCTTTGTTGCTTCGAACAGGGAATCGATGCGTTTAAAACAATACAATCGTATATCACAAACAGTTACGAATCAACGCTGAGTACTCTCTAGGGGGATTCTTCGAAATTAAAACTACTTATAACGTACTCTCCCTATACGATCTGGGCTTTCCAATAAAACGAGGATAATAATCGTCCCATCTCTCTCTTTCTCTCTCTCCTTCTCTCGCTCTCCCTACTATCTAACCGCGCGAAAATCGCGCGTATTGCTTGTCGTGAGTTTATTGCGAACCGTTCACACAAATCGAATTTGGAACGTAAATAGAGTGTGTGTGTGTGTGTGTGTGTGTGTATATATATATATATATATATATATATTTTTTTTTCTGTACACAAACCTCCGCACATCCCGGCAGGATATGTGATGGGGAGAAATATAATATCGCTCTTGACATCTGACCGATTTCTAAGTAGTGCAATTAACGTATATATTTAATGTATATATATATACATACTATATATATATATAGTATATATATATACATACTATATATATATATATACTATATAGCTTCTCGAGTTTGGTGTCACAGTGACACGATATAATTCACGTCCTAGCATTACATTATTATCATCCACGCGCTGAAGTTGTTATGTCTATCGCTATAAAGCGTTACACGCTAGGTAAGATAAGGTAGATCACTCTGTCTCTCTCGAAAAAAAAAGAGTTGAAAAACTCAAAGTGTCGCAGTAAAATATGCACCTTCGGGAAGATGCTTGTAAGCTGTTGCATTCTCTCCCTCCTCTCTCTGATCTAACTAATGGCATAATCGTTTTTCGATATCGATCTCAAAGACGTCGAAAGATACTATTACGATCGAGGGTACTGCCGGATACATACAAATTTACAAAAAGAAAAGAGGAGGCAGCTTGCCTCCTCGATATATATATTTTTTTTCGAGCGTTCGTACAGCAGAACTCCTAATGCCCGAACTAGCGAAGCGGACGATTAACGTTCTAGCCAATGATTAGTCTTTGAATCTTGCAGATTCCTTTCGATTGTTCTCTTATTGTAAACTGTCTCTCTCATTTAGAATGACTACGTTTTTACTCCCAATTTAGATATAAATTATAATAATGTATATATGTAGATGATGTGTACTTACAAGTAACATTATATTTATAGAGCAATCGGCTAAACATTGTACAAGTTTGGTTTAAAATTGGTCAAAATTTTCGAAGAGATATGTGTGGTAACAGAAGCGTCGGGATTTATCAAGGTTCCACTGTACACCGTGATTCGATGTAACCTCGATCGTGCTAAAGCGACGCCGTCTTTCGTGAAGAAACAAATTCTCTTTTCTTTTTTCACTCTTTCTTTGGATTTTTTGCTTAACTCTCTCTCTCTCTCTTTCTCTTTTTCGTGTGACGTGTATCTTTCTTATCCTCTAGTTTTCTTAGTCCTACCCGAGGGACATCGAGTATCTCAGAACCCGACTAGCGCGAGCTATATCGTGTAAGAAGAGTCAAATGTAGCTTTAGGTATTATTATTATGCATTTCTAGGAAGTACGTAAATCTCTACACGCACTCTCTCTCTCTCTCTCTCTCTCTCTCGACACCACACGCACAAATATGGCTGGTAAACGCGAATGCTCGTCTGTTTGATTGTAATCCGGTGTTCTCTCTCTCTCTCTCTCTCTCTCTCTTCGTAATTTCACCGCGCATCAATCGTGCGTGTTTCGGAGTGAGAAACGCTATTATGTCGGAAACGGAGAAATGAAAGAGCGGCAACGAGCGCGACTCGACAATGAAAAGTATCCCTATTCAGTCAAATGCAGCCGAGGATACGCCTGTTCCGCGACGATGCTCGTGCGCGCGTTTCCTCGACGTTGAGTCGTAAAATTAAATTTTTCTCTGGCTTCCCGATTTTACACGATCTAAATTACGATAAGCACTCGCGCACCGGAGATTCCGCGATTCGTTCCACCGATCGTGCGTCGCCGTGAGAACGCGTTGCTCGTGAAGAACGCGACCGAATATACTCGTGGACACTCGTCGCAGAAGGCTACGCGAATTATTAATATAAGTCGGACGTATCCGTCTACTAATACACGTCTCGTGCATTCCATCTTCGCGTGTTCCGAACGGGGGGAATATCTATCGAAGAAATTTCTCGTATCTTAATCGGAAGTCCTCGTAAACCGTAACTTTCAACGTTCGGGCGAACTTTAAGGTAACTTTTAATATCGGCGAATTTCAGAGAGTATTAAACTTCGAATATTCATATTTCGTCGCTTTTGAGCATTCTCTGTTTCCCCTCTCTCTCTCTCTCTCTCTCCATGATTTTATTTTCTCGTCTGAAAAATCCTCCGGGAAGTACGAGGAATTCTTATTAAGGAACTCGTTCTAACTCGCTCTATATCTCTCGTAATCGCTTATGCTTACTAAACGCGTGAAGAAGCGGGGCAGGACTAAAACGACGATCGTTAAGCATCGTAATCTTCACCTAGATCGACGAGCGGTATCGGGTTTTTCCTTAACCTATCCCGCGAGTGGGAGACCGATCAACCCGGTGAGAGCCAGCCGTAGCAGAAAACACCTCCACGGTGATCGCTTAAACGTAATCTTTGGTCGTGTCGTGATCTTGACCCAGCGTCGTACGCGCGAACAGGGGCGAGCTTGGGAATGAACTTGACTATGGAATAGAACGCGGAATAGAATAGAGGAAAGAAAAAAAAAAGAGAGTCCCTTCGCAGAGGTGGAACGAAACGATAAGTAGAAGAGCTTAGCCTTACGGTGAGTGACTCGTTTGCTTCCTTTGGTCGTTGATTAGCGCAGGATGCGCGACATACACGTCAGGAGATCGGTCGTGACCGCGCGAACTTGCTCGTCCGATATACCACCGATCAACGACTATTCTAAACCTGGATCTACAATGGGCGCGGTAAAGTTTTCAGCACTTTTGCTCGGAGCACCAAATTGCAACGTAATTTTTAGCCAAGAGCTACTTCCAGCGCTATTAGACGATTCCTACGATTTAAGGGCCACTTCGATTTTCAGCAACGCGAGCAACGTCTTTCGCCGGGAATTACGTCGCATTTTATCGCTCAGAGCGAAAGGTCAAAGACGGGTTTATTGCACCTGGTTGTAAATCTGGACTAATACTAGCGAACGAACTTAGCCTGTTCGCGTTAGTGGGCGGCGGCATGCACGAAACAAGGAATGCGCGAGAAGAGTGGCCGAGAAGTGAAGACCAGGAGGGTACCGAACTCTCTTCTACGTGTATGAATCGCTAAAACCGTACCGCCGAGTCATTGCGCTCGGAGCGAAACCTACCTACCTACCTACCTATCTATCTACCTATTTACCTACCTACCTTCCTTTCTCGAGGTAAGGGCGCACCGTCTTGGGGAGCTACTTGCTGCGGATTGTAAAAGCTGATAAAAAAACGATCGTTTTACCGGCTACGCTTAAAGATAACGATCCCTCCCGCCGTGAGAGAGAGGGGGTAGATACTTTAGGCACTGAATCGCACAGTTTATTTTTTTCCGCACCTAGGAATTCCCTTGGAGTGACACCGATGAACTAGTGCGAAGGAGGGGGCGGGATCACAAGATTCAGGTTATCAGATTTCTCGCGCGAGGAGGAGCCGGCCCGCCGACATCATACTATCTGCTGCTTCAGCTTCACCAGATTCGTCGTGCCGTATAGCTTCATGTCCAGCGGCGCGCTCGGCTCGTTCTTCTTCGTCTGCGTGTGCCAGGCGAGCACCTTGGTGCAATTGTCCGCGAGCAGCTGGGCGTCGCGCGGCTCGAACGGCACCAGGCTCTTCAGGAAGCCGTCCTCCTCGTAGCCCGCGCGAAACGGCATCGTGGCGTTCGGCCTCTGCTGCAGGAACTTCACGCTCACGGCGAACCCGGCCATGTCCACCGGGAACTTCCGCCCGGCTATCCAACCGTCGTAAAACCCGGCGAACTTGCCGTTCTTCAAGATCGGCGAACTCAATCCGAACTTGGTGCACAGTCCCACCGGGAACATCGACACCGTCTTCGTCTTCCGGATCTGAAACGCGCACGTTAGAATTGAGAGAACGAGACGCATCGCGTCGGAGGGGGGGGGGGGGGAGGGGGTTTNNNGGGGGGGGGGGGGGAAGGGGATTCGCACGGAAAAAGAAAAACAATCCCGTCGGTGGGAATTGAATTTCCCGTTGACCGGACGAAAATTCGATCGTGGCGGAGCCCCTCAAGTAAAACTCTGGACGCCTCTGGCTTCTTACTGATTGCTCCGGTTCTTTATTCGATCGGAAATCGCAGAACTGAGGATTGTCAAATAAATCAGTAAATTAATAAAATAAGGATTGTAATTAAATGTTATTCTAAGATGGGGAGTGATAAATGATAATGAAATAATGATAATAAATGAATTTTTCAGAAATTAAAGAATCCATTTTTATAAACAGTATTATGTACAGTTAAATGAATCGCATATATATATATATATCCTGAGAAAAATTGTGCCTTGACTCGGTATATATACATTAGCCAATATTCATAATCAGATCTTATATTTAACACCATCTTAAGTTGTTAATCCTCAGATGCTTCGAAGCCGATGAAATGAGCCGTACAGCATCTGAAGATGAACTTAAGACGGTCTTAAATATAAGATGCGACTGTAAATACCGGCCATTGTATGTGTAGACACCTTTCACATATAGATAGAGACGTTCTGGTAAGAGAGGTGTCATTTTTAATGAAAAAGCCGATGATATCCAGACTTATTTGAGGGACTTTAACGTTGCAGGAATAGAAAGATTCCTATATGATTTTAAAAGCTCGGAATAACCGGTTTGTTCCATTTCTCCGCGGCTTTTTCGGATTTCTCCGCGGAAAAAAAAATAGAAAAAACTCCGTTTGTTGTTATTCGTCAATTTTTCGGAGGTTTTCGCGAAAAAAAAAATGGAAGAAAATGGGGTTTTTTTTTTGACTATAGATTATTAGTAGGAGGTCTCTGCTCGGTCCATTGCTCTCAGTTGTCCCAACCGATGCAGCTGAATGTTCACACGAACGTTCCCGGTTCAGTTCGCAGGAACTGAACTTCGTATTTCCGCGTGAAAGTCGAGCAAATTAGCGATTAACGTGTACCTCGTCGAAAAGCTCAATATCGTAAGTATTGTCGTCGTCGGCGAAGTAGAACACGCCTCTCGTAGCGTTCGCTCGTATCCACTGCAGGCCGCGATTTCTGTTCGACACCCCGCGCGGCTTCGCGCCCTTCTTGAGCTTGTACTTCTCCGGCATCGGAGCTGCACAGATCGTTCGCGATCATCATCGGTGGTGTGCTCACCTCTCTACGGCAGATTCGCAATTGAACGTCAGCTACGTCAGGTTTTTACCGATTAAATGATCAAACTTGAGGCCGGTGCGCTCCAGCAGCTTGGTGACTTGCTTGGTGGCGACCGTGGCGTCCTCGATAACGAGCCAGTGCACGTTCCTGACTAACATCAGCGTGTGAGCCATCCTCGTGAGCTCGGGGATTTGCTCCGGTCTTCGATATGTCGGCGTGATGATGTACAAGGGCTCGGCGGGCTCCTCGGGATTTGACGGGGCCGACTGACGAAGCTGCGTCGCCGCCTTGTGCATCGTCGTCGGGGCTGTTTGCGGAAGCTTGGAATTATTTCTCGAGGCCACCGAGACGTTCCTGCTCAACTGGCTGATAAGCTCCTGCACGAGCAACGAACTTATATCCGGACTCAGGCCATTCGCCATTTGCACCCGGTACACGGCGTACCGAATCTGTAAAGAGAACGGACGACCGTTGCCTAACGTTGAGAGGAGAAAAAAAGAGAGACGTCGAAATTTATCCTCGCCCGGACGAGACGAGTGACACGCGTTCTCTCAGAAATTGAAGATACTTCATTAATTCGCAATTCATTTTCGCACGACAAATTACCTGTTTCATATTAATCCCCGCGCGGAAGCGCGCCGTTTTACGGCACACCTGGGCCTCTCCGGCCAACTTTTCAACGCGTTCGCGTGCCCAGGAAGAATTAATCGCATCGCGAATCGTTCGAGGCGATTTGATATCTCCGGGAGGCAACCGCGAAATTCCACCGAAACGGGATCCTCTTTAGCATTTTATCTCAACGATATCGCGGGCGAGCGCACGAATAACCTCGGTATTTGATATAGTCACGATCGATCGTCATTGTTTACCATGTCTTCGGTGAGCCTGGAGGTTTTGCTGTAGTTATCGCCCTCTTCGCCGATCGGTAAAACCCCGGCGTCGTCCGCAGGGTTGTCCGCATTGAAGGCCGTTACTTGGTCGAAAGTAACGCCGGTGGACAGGTGATATTGATAAAACACTACGCAGATCCCTATCAAGGCGATCACTCCCATTTTCATGGACGGCTTCATTATACCGATGCCTGTGCGGAGAAACGCAGAATATTGAGTGTCCGGGCGCGAACGGAGAACGAACCCGAGTCGAAATTTCGCTCCTGCGATCGACTTTTTCATTCTACAACAGTACAGCAGTACGAGCTAAGGTGGCACGAAATAGATTTTAACAAATGTCATTTTTAATAATATAATTTACTCTTTGATCCTGATGATGTCTTAAATTTTCATTTTCGCTGCTTCAGTGATCAAATACGTTCAGAATTGACTGAACAGGATAAGGGCCGAAATATTTGGATACTTGTGATTATATAAGATTTTGACTTAAATCTTATCACTCACGATGATTATGTGAATCTCGTTATAGCATTGAATTTAGTATATTTCGTAGTTTCAGTTTACTTCTAACTTTCTCGCGCCTTTCTTAGTTACAAGAGCGGGCGCGTCATGTATACAATGCAACGTGGATTATGAACGAAAATTTTCAAGGATCAGGCATTTCATCGTAAAATAAATATTATACGGAAAAAGTTTGTAATATATAACAGTTTATTAATCATGTCTTTTATTAATTAATATAATAAAACGTGTAACAATAATGAGATAAAATCAAGTTTCAGAATCAGTCTTCGATTGTGCAGCTTGGCAATTTCGCACGTTATTGATGTTATCGAATGCTTTGCACGAGAACAAATATGCAGAATTATATGAAAAAACTATATTTACGTTGATCTTCAAATTATTACGGAAGCGTGTTAGTGCATTGTATACATAAAATTAAGTGATTTAACAACTTCTTGAAAAATTCGTATACATTTTGTATTTATTTATTTATAGTAAAACTGTGGTAACACATTTCGAAAAACGAGATAAAAAATTTACACTTGGATGGAATAGACACTAAAGGAATACCTTTGAGTTTATCGTGACTGACAGACAGGATTTTACGCATGCATTCTCTCTTTAAACCCAATATTCTGTGCAGAAATACGCCCATCGGGAGGTTAAATGATCGAAATACGTTGTTCGAGGTTTATCGTAAAAATGAAATTTGTGGAATTAAAAGTTCGCCAGAGAAGTTAATGTCGTCAGAGAAAGTTTTTATTAGTCTGTCGGCCATCTAAGTAGGTGCAAATTGTCCTTAATACTTTAACGGCCGCATTATTCCGGGAAAATTTTCGACTGTTGCCGAGAAATTTCGAGAGTTCGCTTAAACAGTCGATCTAAAATAACGAACATCCTCTTTGTACATAAATCCGTACATCTAGCTTCCCAGTAAACACCAAACCAGCAGTGAACATAATGTCAATGTTATAATTTCCGACTCTCAACAGTGTAAATCCAATATAATGCGTCTGTTGTGCAACAGTTCCATTGTTGAGTGGGAAATTACAGCATTCATGTTACGTTACCGTTAGTTGGTGTTTACTACATTCGTACACAGCTCTCTTATAATATTACAGGTATAAATGATTAATGTCGAGAAATATCTCTTTATAAGATGACAGCTGTTAATAGAATGAAGTCGCATGTACGTGACAGCGCGCGTCAAAGTGTCAAGAGGCGTCGTCAAAGTGATATCAAAATTTCGACTCGGAGAGACGCGCACGTTTCGACGAAGATAACGTATCGTCAGGCCGCCAAGTTCCAACAAAGCGCGACGGCGGTGCAGGACGATTCGGCGGGCAACTTTCGTACAACGAATCGAGAGTGCGTCCTTTTTTCTCACCGTTCTTAACCGTGTTCCAGTTTAATAACGGGGAAATGGGACTGGAAGATTAATCGGATTTTAAATGAAAAATGTACCGCTCCACAACTTACTCCACTAACTTTTCCGCTCGGGAAACAGTTACTCTCGCGTCCCATTCTCATGCTTCTTCTCCCCCTTCCTTCTCCCCCGGAGCGCGAGTTTTCAATTTTAATCTGATTCTCGACCCGATCCAATTCACCGGGCATTACCGTGTAAATGTATATCGCGTTCAAGTTATACGTGTAAAATGTAAATTTCCATCGGAGGACGAAGTGCGCCGTGGAGGAGAGAGGGTGGGAGAGAGAGAAGGACGGTAACGGGACGGAAAAAACTCCATGAATTAAAGCTCGACGTCGCGCATTGAAACGTCCGCGTATTAACGCTCGCTCGCAGATGATCCCGAGTTTCGTTGCGATTTCGAGCGGAAAACGCCGGATTACCATAATAGCCGTGCGCCGAAGAGCGCGCGCGGAAAGTCGAGACGAAGGAACGGACGGAGGAAAGAGAAAGAGAGATATATGCTCACTCACCCGAATGCTACATGTGTCGGCTGCTCCGTCGTTTCCGTTGCCTCTCCTGAATCGCGAGCTGCTTCTTGCCCTGTCATCAAAATAATTAGCTCGTCAAGCTCGTAATACCTCGTCGCTCGGGGCGAAGAGGGAGGGAGGGAGGGAGGGAGGGGGGGGG